TCTAGCGATATCGTTTCATTACTGTTCTCATCGGATTCGAAATATTTATTGACGCAAGGTGGAGCTCCCGATCATTCGCTCATCTATTGGTCGTGGGAAAAAGGAAAGGTGATGGCTAGCATTGATATCAAATCAACAACAACTTCACAAGTGCCTACCGCAGTTAATCAGGTTCGTTATCCACATAGCTAACTCAATGAGATTATCTCTAAATACGAAAAGCTAGTATAGTGGTCCTTAATTGAGTATAATGAAAAGAATTCAACTAAGTTAGATTTCCTATTCATTGCATTCATAAAGCTTCACGAATAATACCGATGAAAACATACAAAATACTACTGAAGCAAATTTTGAAGTCCCACGCATTGTTTAGGTCTCGTTCAATCCTCAAGATAATACTCAGATATGTGCGATTGGCAATGGCATCTTCAAAATGTTTCGTTATAACGAATCCATATTGAAACCGTCTCAAAATCTTAAACAAGAGCAGTACAATTTCACTTGTCATTGCTGGGTATCTGATGAACGATTGTTAGCTGGCACTGATCAAGGCAAACTGTTTTTGATTCAAAACGGTGAAATCCTTCATGAGATCAAACTTGATGCAAAATTTGAGTCACGGTAAAACGGAAACTTTCAATATTGGAGATCTTTTATTTTTGAATATATTTCAGATCTGTAACAAGTCAACATTCTGGTGATGATCGTATAGGCATTGGTGAAACTAATGTGAACATTAATCTCGAAGATAACTATGCCAATAAATCCGAAGTGACATGCATCGTACCATTTTCACGTGGTATTCTGGTTGCTGCTGGCGTGAACAAAGTATATATGTTCGATCGAATTGATGATAATCGAGAATATTATCGACGTAATCGAGAAATTGTCTTGCCCAACGATTCTGAGAAGATAAATAACCAACAAGTTGTTTCCATGTGTTTAAGTCCTTCGGAAGAGACGTTAATTGTTGCTACGGATCATCAACAAATCTATCAAGTTTCGTTTTCCGGCATCGATATCACCAAAGTAAAGGATCACTATCTACAAAATGTTTGTTTTGCATTTCTCCTATGTTTTAGGATATTGCTATGTTCACATTCTTAGCAGATGGCAATCATTGTGCTCAAGTTACTGGATGTGATACTTGCATTCGAAAACAACTGATCGCCACTTGTGGTATAGATAAAACCGTTCGAATCTGGAATTATGAAACAGGGTAAGGGTTTTATTATTTTGTATCTTTGCAATAAAATGAGCAATGCAATTTGGTTTAGTGCACTTGAGTTATATAAAGAGTTTCAAGAAGAAGCCTACGCTGTTTCTCTACATCCATCGGGCTTGTTCATTCTCGTTGGATTTGCAGATAAATTGAAATTATTTGCAATCCTGATCGATGACTTTCGTCTATTCAAAGACATTCCTATCCGTGGTTGTCGTGAAGCATTGTTTAGCAATGGTGGACATTTATTTGCTGCCGTACATGGCAATGTGATTCAAATCTATTCTACAATTACTGCAGACCATGTCACCAGCTTAAAAGGACACAATGGCAAAGTCTGTTGAGCATTCGATAGAAAAATGTTGAAATCAAGTTTTACCTTTAGGTCCGACAGCTAGTTTGGTCACCGGATGATGCACGATTGTTCTCGTGTGGTATGGATGGAGCCGTCTATGAATGGGAAGTGACAACCTCGAAACGATTACACGAAGCCGTTCTAAAAGCATGTGGTTACACAGGTCTCGGTATTAGTGCTGATGCTAAAACAGTATTTGCTGTGGGTACTGATAGAAAAATTAAAGAAATCTATGAAACACAAGTTTGTTCTATTCTCACTTATTTCTGACAAGTGAACAAGTCAATTTCATTTTTAGCAAATCGTTCGTGAACTTCCAATCACACCGGACGATGTTCAGCCGACATCGATTGCAATTAGTCATACGGGTAAATCTTTGTTAGTTGGTACTTCGAAAGGAACTGTTCGGTCATATGCATTCCCATTATCCAAACCGGATGATTTCACCGAATATGTCGGACACGTTGGCATGATCAATCGAGTAATGCACTAGAATTCTTTGCTTCAATTGTTTACTATTCAAATATAATCTTTATTTAGTTACGTATCACATATCTAGATGAATATGCTATCACTGTCGGCGATGACGGTACTGTCATCATATGGACCTTACAAGAAGTTGGTATTGCGAAAAAAGAGAAAGATATCATCTATGCTGAGGAAATTCTGATTACAAAAAGTGACCTGGAAGAAAAGGTAAATGTTCTGTTTTGATTTATTCTCTCTAGTAAAGTCGATTTGTTTGAAGAATGCACTGATACGTGAATTGAAACAACGTGTGTCGGAATTGCGTGAAGAGAATGATTATCAATTGAAAGTGAAAGACATGACCTACAAGCAACGAATTGAGGACTTAGGCGATAAATTAACGCAAGAAATGGAAAACTTGAAAATGAAACATACCGTTGTTACTGCCGAAAAAGAAAAAGAGGCCAGTAAACATGCTGAACAACTGCATGACCTTCTGGAAAAGCAAACCAAAGAATTACAAGATTTAGGTAAGGACGATCGCTTCTCTAAGAAGTTTTCCCTTAAAACATTATTTTCATGTAGTATTCTTCTTTTCGTAAGTTGACCTAATCAGCTATGAATTTGCATATCAGTTGAATAGAATTTTCCTGAGCGAGGTTTTGATTTGTTCTTTTGTCTGTTCGTAGAAAGTTCCAATAATCAAAAGCTTATGCTTGAATACGAGAAATATCAAGATCTTCAAAGTAAAACTCAGAAAACCCAAGAAGATTACGAACGACAGTTGACCGAATTGGAAAATAAGAAAGAAGAAGACGTCGCACGGCAACGATTGAAATACACCACGGAACTCGAGAAGATCAAAAACCAACTATTTGTTGTATGTTATTTTCGAATCGAACTTCATTTATCATCTGTATCATTATTAAGGAACATGAGAAAGGCAAACAACAATCGCGTGATTACGAGGAAACTAAACGTCAAATTGAAGAGGATGCCGATGAAGAAATTCTCAAACTAATGCAAACAAATGAACAAGCGTTGAGTCAATGCAAAGAAGAAAACGTCAATTTGAGAAATAAAAGTACAACCTATCAACGAAAAGTAGGTTGATATTTGCAGGAAAAACAAGTGATTCGATTTTTATCATTGTCAAGGTGAAAGATTTAGAAGAAAGTATTCGAAAGAAAGAAGTCGATTTGGGAAATTCCAAGAGTGAAGAAGTGAAATTACAGAATAATATTCGTGGGTTGAAAAAAGATATCGAAGGATTGAAAAAAGAAATCCAAGAGCGGGATGAAACCATTCAAGATAAAGTAAAACCTTTTCTAGAAAAGAAAAATGTTATCAAATGTGTTCCTCTAGGAAAAACGAATCTATGAATTGAAACGTAAAAATCAAGAATTAGAAAAATTCAAGTTCGTCTTGGATTACAGAATCAAAGAATTGAAGAAACAAATTGAACCACGTGAAATTGAAATTAAAGATAAGAAGGAACAAATTACAAATGTAAATAATCTTCATTGTTCTTTTCCTTTTTAATTCATTTTTTCGAAAATTGATTGTTCTTTTAGATGGAAGCTGAGCTTGAACGATTGAGTAAAAGCAATGATGAAGAAAAACTGAAAAATGAAGAATTACGTTCGAAACTAAATGCATCTTCTCTAGCTTTACAACAAGAAAAACAAATGGTTTGCCGATGAAACTTATTCATCCATAAACTAATCAATTTTTTCCATTTCTAATAGAAACGAGATTCGGAATTGGCTTTGAAACGTATCAAAACAGATATTCACAATTGTTCAGCATTGATTACCGAACCAAAATTATTGACACAACGCGTTGCCGAAATCTATGCTCAATATGTTCGAGAAGATGCGGTAAATGACCATCGAAATAACACTTTGTTTGAACTCATTTTCATTGAATTAGACCGAAGAAGCCAATATCGATCAAGACATAACTAAAGAATATGCTCGACAACGTGATCATCTCGAACGAACTGTTCGAAGTTTAAAGGTATTTTGATATTTCATTCGAGCTTGTCTCTCATTGTTTTTTCGCTAGGCTAAAGTTGATAAGGACTCCGAAAGACACAAAACCGAAAACATTCGTATCATGCAAGTAAGTTTTTATTACATTCCAACGATTTTGGCTTCATTTCAAACGTTCACTTACTCAGGAAAACGTCACGTTAATCAAAGAAATCAACGATCTACGACGCGAATTGAAAGCTGCTCGAGTTAAGTTACAAGAACTTCAAACAGCTATGGGTATCAGTCGTAAAACAGCTGCACGTACCACAGAAGATATTGTTCAAGCATTGAATACACATCAGAACGCACACATTGTCAAAGAAAGACAAGGAGAATTAGAGAATTTAATCCAAAATCAACGCCAGGAAATTCAACGACTTCATGAACAAATTGCTATTATGGAATCCGGCAATAGACGTAGTGGTTCAGCAACTGGTAATCGATCGCGTCCGACCTCGGGACAACTGCCACCGATTACATCAACATTAACAGCTCATTGACATTCCTATGTATGCATATTTTATTCATCAATTCTACTTTCTATTTTTTGTCACTTTCAAACAAAAAATATATATTTAATCTTTTCTTCTAATAAACATTGATGAAAATTGTTCGTTCCTCAAACAACTTGCGCCATCTGTGCGAGGAATAAACTACAATTAAAACATTCAAGGTGTTCATTTACGATATTAATGGTAGCTGATTGTTGATTGGTAGAAAAGTGATGTTTTCTTTATCACATGGAGAATTTCATAGAAGTTCTTCCTGTTTCTAATTTATCTCGTCATTATGTCATGTTTCTTTTTGTTGACTGCATGACTGAATAGCTAATTAATCGAGTTTGACGGTGCCAGAAAGCGTTTTTTAACTTTGAAAAAGCGCTTTTTATTCCATGTTTGTCTTCAACTGAATATTTCAGATGACGGAATGTTATTCAGCTCGTTGTCAACAGGATCGTAAATTAGCTCGACGAGAATTTAATAAATGGACCAAAAATGTCTTGCTACAAATTGGTAAACGCAAAAATTTTAACAAGAGAACAAATAACATGTTTCTTTTTCTTTTCAGGATTAGAGACAATATCAAAAAATCATTTTGAGTTCGATGTGAACATATTTCAAGATAAAGATGGTGAGCAAATATAAGATTTTTATGCAGAAAAGATTGACATTTCGAGTTTGTAGAAGAACAAGTAGCAGTTGATTTTAATGCCGATCAAGAATGTTTGTTTTGTCTCAATCGACAAGAATATTTAGGCAGTAAAAAACATCTCAGTCGATCGAATGAACATCCGCATCATTTCATTAAAGAACCAGTTGTTGACGACGAAGAAAATGCACCACTGGACTTAAGTTTAAAGTCAACCACAAGTCATTCGCCATTGATCACATCAAATCATCGAACAAATGTCAAGTAAATACACACGCGCGAGAACGTTCTCACGAAACAAATCTTTTCCATTGTAGACATCGGCCAATGTTTGATATCAAGTCAGATATGCCATCGATATATGGTCAAGAAGAATTCGATCGTTTTATGTCTGAAATGATCGCCAGTCAGTTAGGTAAAGTCTTGACAAATTGAACGCCATTGTTCGATTGAAAGTGTTATTTTCGTTAAGAATTTTCACCTCAAGCGTATATGAATTTGAATTTGTTTCCAACATCACCGACAATTCCGATTTTACACTCTCAACCACCGAAAAAGAAAAGTTCCATCTCGCAAGATAATCGCATTGCTCAGTTAGCCAAACAAATGGCGTACGAACGAATGCTACAAGAAATTGAATCTCAACGTCATCCGTCTTCAGTCAATAAGAAATCAAAGAGTTCATCTAATCATTCATCATCAGTTCTCACTGAATCATTTCATGTTAATCATTTACTTAATGATGTCATGATGCGTATATTACACGAAATGTTCGAGAAACAAAAACAGCAGCAGCAAACGGCAACAACATCTACATCACAACCGCGTGCGTCACGTAAAGGTGAACTATTGTTTGTTAAAAAGCAAAATATCAACAATGATGAACAATACAATCCAAATATTTTTAACCATTTTAATAATAACAATAATAATAATAATCATCATAGCAATAGCAATGAAAAGTCACAAAAGGTTTGTAGATGCATTCATTCTGTTTGTTTTCATACTGTAAAATATTGGTATCTGCTTAGTGTGTCGACAAGGTCAATCCTTCGTCTTCAAGTTCTTCATCCGCATCGAGTGTCTCATTGACTAGTTCGTCATCGATTCATAAGAAAAGTAAACATAAGTCCAAATCACATCAGTCAACATCATACATTCCGAAAGGACGATCGGTGGATATTATAAATAATAATAACAAGGTTAACATTGGTAATGATGGCAAACAAATCCGTCCAAAACGTGGACAGTATCGTCGTTATGAATCGGAACAATTAGCTAAAGCAGTCGCTGCGGTTTTAAGCAATGAAATGTCTGTACATAAAGCAGGTTCCTATTTTGGTGTACCACACTCGACGGTGAGTCTGATTCACTCTGAGTTCTCTATTTTATCAATGGATTTTTCAGTTGGAATACAAAGTCAAAGAAAGGAATACGAAAACATCGTCAACAACTAAGCCTAAGCATGAATCAACATCTATTAATGATAATGATAGCAATGTAATGTCACAAGGTGAGTTGAATTTGCTTTTGTTTGATCAGATTTATCATGAAATATTCCAGGCGGTGATAATGACGATGAAGATGACGATAAATCATCGAAAGGTCTTGGCAGTTGTATACCGTTTTCAAACAGTAATCTGAATGAAGTCGATGATGAGAATGATTCGAATGATGCTGATGATGATCTCGAAGAATGTCTCAATTGATTTTCTTCGACAATCAATTAATCTTCTTCTCTACATCTTTCTACTCACTTTTACACATCCATACATCAATTTCTACTTTTTGTTTCAATGTGTATATAGATCTATAGTACATGTTTTTACTAGTCAAGAACGCATCCATGAGAGAATCTTCATGTATCATGTTCTTTCCTAACAGTCTGCGTACGTGCATTTGAAAACATGGAGGAGAGAGGAATCTTTGTTGTGTGAATTTTCTTTTCAGTTCTTTTAACAAAACATTTCCAAGTTTGTCTGTCGTTTTTCTTTATTGTATATCTAAATGTGTATCATTGTCTGTTGCTACAAACACATTCAGTATTTGTTCTTGTTGTTTCTTTTTTTTCTTCTTAAATCTGTGTTATTCGACTAGGCCATCCAGCGCGCACACACAAAAAGCAAATAATAAAGAACTTTTCATGTCCTGTTTTGTGCAATATATATACAACTGTTCTGTTTTTCGAGTTTCTAGAGATATGGGTTGTGCCTGCGGACGGCAAAGTGTGGTCATTCAAGGACAAAAGTTTTATCTCATGCGTCAAATTGGCGAAGGGTAGTTTGCTTAAGCTTTGAGATCGATTTTGGGCTTAGAGAGAATAGTTGGTGAATGGATTCTGTTGTTTTTAGGAGTTTCAGTTATGTATTCGAAGCACGAAATACAGCAGATAGTCATCAATATGCAGTGAAGAAAATGTCATGTCATACGGATGAAGAAGAAAACCGTGCGCGAGATGAAATAGAAAACTATCAAAGATTTTCGCATTCAAATTTAGGTTAGCGAAAAGATCTTCGCTAGATCTTTCTTCTCCACTGATCTTTCCATTTAGTTTCACTGTTGTATCACGAACAAGTGAAATATAGTCCGAATGCACATGTGACAAGTATTTTCTGGCTGGTTTTCCATTACTTTAAAGTAATAATTGAAATTGTGCTTGGGCTCAATGTTATTCACCTTCCTGTTCGATAGAATGGATCGTTGCAGAATGTTTTCGATAGACAAACGAAATTTACTACTCGCGTGTTACTGGAATTATTCTTAAGTATTTGTGAAGGTGTTCGGCAAATCCATGAGAAACAAATGGCACACAGGTTGTCTTGAATCAGACAGCTAGCAAGATTGCTCATTTATATTTTATAGAGATTTAAAACCTAGTAATGTGATGCTGTTAAATAACTCTCAGGGCGTTATATTAGATTTTGGTTCGATGACACCAGCTACGATTTCTATCACAAACAGATCTGATGCACAAAAATGGCAGGTGAGTTTAATTAAGAAAGCAATCCTTCGGCCTGATCATAGCTGTTTAGGATTGGGCAGAAGAAAACTGTTGTGTACAATGTAAGTCAATCTATGTCGATCGATAAAATTGCAATGGATTTGAATAGATCGTGCTCCGGAGTTATTTCATATCGAGACAAACACTGTAATCACTTCGAAAACGGACATCTTCTCATTGGGTGGGATTCTGTACGCATGCTGCTTCGGCAAAGGACCTTTTGACGATGTATATTCAAGAGGAGATAGGTAGGGCACTATCTTTCCCGTTCGCTGTCTATGAAATCGAACTTCTGTTGCATATTCAGTGTTGCATTAGCCATTGCCAGTGGTCGCATTGAACTTCCTATTCAATCCTCGACCTATCCATCGATCATCATCGATACCATGCTTTCCATGCTTCATACTGAACCTGAGCAACGTCCGACCGTTAACGAAGTAATCGATGTGCTCTCAAGTGTTGCTCGTTTAACAATGGATATTGCATAAATGTTTGTTTTATTGTAAAAATGTGTGATGTTTCGATCTATCTTTTTCTGTTCAGTTATGAACGTTTTACAAAACAAATGTACAGCATGTCGTAAATATAATTACAAGGGTTAAAAATAAAGAAGAAAAATCTGAACGATAAGAATAAAAACGTGAGAAGAAGGAGAANATACATTTTGTTGATCATCTGAACTAAGAATAGCATTAGTTTTTGAAGATATTTCCTTATCAGTATTACCGTTCTGTGCTGCGGATTCCATGATACACTAATCAATAGATAAGAATATCTATGTCACCAGTTATTGGAAGAAAGAATTAAAAATAATAAACACAATTAGATGTGTGTGTGTGTGAACATCTAGTTCTTTGTGACGATTGGTTTGATTGATATTTTTCTTTGACGTAGCTAAAATTTTAGATAAAAACTTAAACAGAAAGAGTTCAATTGATTTTTACGAATAAATTTCATTTTGATTCTTTTTCATTTGCCAGATGTCACTGGTGCTAAAGTGATTGGATAGCGGTTGCACCACGGCGAATAATTGTTAGAATATATATATGTACCTTTTGCTGGCTACGCTAATCAAGCGAAACGGTATCATGATTGTTTTTTCATTTACAAAAGCATCCCTGAACATCATATTTGACAAGATCGATTGCAAAGAAGGCAACAACGCAAAAATCTCAGGTACACATTTGGATTTTTTCACTCGGTTCCATTGTAGATAATGAGTCACATTGTAAAATTGCATCCTATTTTTAGATACAACTCACTCATGATTGATTATTTAACTCGTCGTCGTTTTATTATTTGTGCTGCCGCTACTTTATTCTTGACAGTAAGCATCGTCTTCATAGCGCGTTTACATTCGATGTTTATCATGACTAAAATGTCATCGATGCACTCATCAACATCGGCAAACATGTCTACAACTGATGATCAACACAAATATCCATGTTATCTTACAGAGACAGTTGATGTTGTCGAATCCTGTACGAAATGTTCAGCATTTAACATACGTTCGAAAGCTATGGGTTGTTCACCGACAGGCTTTCGCGAATCAGTTTTCTGTCCACAGTCGAACATTAAAGTCTATCGCGCATGTCCAGTACCAATCTATATTCAAAAGGAACACTTCTGGTACTTTGAAGGTCTAATGTTTTCCCTAAGTTTACTATCGGTTATTAGTGTTTATTGGAGGCAGAAGACTTTAGATAAACAAATGATTGAGAGAATCAAACGACAGATTGATATTAGCGACGAGTGAAGCACCGGTATCACCTGCGCTTATTTACACGGATACACTTCGTTGCGTATGCACTTTTTTAGAAAAGTTTTACGTGATATCTATCGTTGCACTGAACAAGGTGTGTCATATAATGCTATTTTTTGACCATGACCCTTTATCATAAGTAATTCTGATAAACCTGCACTTATCTTTCGTTACTTTTTAAATATATTTATATACGTGTACTCTTCTTATCTATTTATGTTAGAATAGTGAAAATGTACTCGATCTCATGTGTAATATTTCATCAAATAATTGTTTGATTATTAATCTATAGATTTCTTTCTTTTATTATTATTAAACTGTGATAAAGATTGTCCCGGTACAGTTTCTTTCAACACTTTTCTTTACCAATCACAAGTGGGTAAGTTCGTGTTGATAATCAAAATTCATTCAGTTCACTCTGCTCTTTTCAATTCTAGTTTGTGATTTTTGTACAATGTACATTTCATTCATCGCATTTCTAGCCTTTTCAATATCGCTCTGCATTGCAGTACCTATCAAATCATCAAATGGTTGTGGTTATGCTGTAAGATTGATTGATTTTCTAGATATCTAATACAATCTTCTGTCTAGGCATGCAATGTCGGTGATCCGAAGAAACTCAATGTTCACATAGTTGCACATACGCACGACGATGTCGGATGGTTAAAAACCGTTGATCAGTACTATTATGGAGGTAAATGAGAATATGCTAACGTTCTTTGTAGGATAAATTCGATTTTATTCAGCTCGAAATAATATTCAACATGCTGGAGTTCAGTACGTTCTCGATTCGGTGGTGCGTGCATTAGAAGATAATCCTGATCGACGTTTTATCTACGTTGAAATGGCCTTTTTCTGGCGCTGGTGGAATCAGCAAACGGATGAAATACATGATAAAGTGAAGAAATTCGTTAGTGAAGGTAGAGTGTTTCGCTAAAGTTCAAAGAGTTATGCATTGGCTTTTTACAGGTCGTTTGGAATTCATCTCTGGTGGCTGGTGTATGAATGATGAAGCGTCGACGCATTACAATTCCATTATTGATCAACATGCGTTGGGAGCGGAATTTTTACGTGATCAATTCGGTGAATGTGGACGACCAAAGATCGGTTGGCAGATCGATCCTTTCGGACACTCCAGGGAGCAAGCATCTCTTTTTGCACAGGTATTCGATTTTCCTTAGATCATTTGACTGAAATACGAGTTTTAATAATTAACATAGATGGGTTTTGACGGTCTATTTTTTGGTCGTTCGGATTACGAAGATTACACTCAACGTAATAAAACAAAGACAATGGAAATGCTCTGGAAAGCTAGTGCGAATCTAGGTAAAGATTGAGTGAAATATTAGAGAGCTAAATGAGAAGATGTTACATGTATATGTAGACCGTCAAGCTTGGCTATTAACCGGTCTTTTACCAAATCTGTATGTTCCTCCCAGTTCCTTTTGTTTCGATATACTTTGTGGTGATGAACCAATCATGGTGAGTTGCTTTTGTTTGGTTTCATCCCGACACAAATATGCTTTCCTAGGATGATCCTCGTTTACATGATTATAACGTTCCAGAGCGCGTTAAAGCATTTATTGATACTGCACATAACGAAGTTCGTCGGCTATTTTTACAACTAAGAAATAAATCATCAAAGTATCTTTTTAGGCATACGGTTTTGCAACAAATCATATCATTATGACTATGGGTAGTGATTTTCAATACGAAAATGCTAATGAATGGTTTAAAAATATGGATAAACTTATCAAATATGTCAATGCACAGGTATTGAGTCGCTCGATTTGATCATTCTATTCAAACCAAGAAAATATATTTAGCAAGCCAATGGTAGCGACGTGAATGTGTTCTATTCGACCCCATCATGTTATCTGTATGCTTTGAATAAAGCTGATCGTCTTTGGACATCGAAAACGGATGACTTCTTCCCGTATTCACATCATCCACATGGCTTTTGGACTGGTTATTTTACATCACGAGCAGCATTGAAAGGTTACGAACGTCGCACAAACAATATTTTACAAGCAACTAGACAGTTGAATGCATTTGCCAATACTAATATACGCAATAGAACTTTTCCGTTGAGTAAGACAGTTTCCTTCCAGAGAGAAAACATATCGAACCATAATGTTCTTATTGTAGGCGAAGCAATGGGTATTGTTCAACACCACGATGGAATAAGTGGAACGGAAAAACAACATGTTGCCGAAGATTATGCCCAGCGTCTAGCGGAGGGTGTTGATGCAGCAGTGGTATGTCGAAATCACACTAAAATCTATAACCAAAGAACATTTTTTGTAACTCTTTAGGATGTGATCAATGCTGCTTATATAAAATTGTTATCAAAGGATGCGACAATACCACCAAAAGCGCCTCAGTTTCTTTGTCAGTTAACAAACATTAGCGAATGTTTACCGATCGAAGGACAAGATCAAGTAAGTGCAATAAAAGACTTTCTTTCTCGATTTATTTTATTTATCCATGATAGTTCACATTAACACTTTGGAATCCAACTGTACACACGATTACTCGTCATGTTCGAGTGCCTGTGACGAAAAAATATTCCATCCGTGACGCAACCGAACACGCAGTTTTAGCTGACGTATGATCCATTTCACGCGATTTCTTATGTTTTTGAGTGTTCTTTCGATAGTTCATTCCAATCTCTGAACCAACAAAGAAAATTCCCGGCCGAAAGAGTTTTGCTACCAATCAACTTGTCTTTAAAGTTCTCTTACCAGCTCTTGGTTTCAATACGTATTATTTTGAAGTCAAAAGTAAGCATCAAAACATGGAATTGAGCATCATAAACAAAAAAGTATGATTTTGTTCTAGCCAGTGAAACTGATGAACAGACCGACGTTTCGATTAGTAAGAATGATCAATGTGTCCTAGAAAATGAAGTAACAGGAATTTAATCGAATATATATCTAAGTTACAATCTGTTATACGTTTGTAGTATCTTCGAGTTGAATTGGATGATAACGGCAATCTACTGAAAATCACAAACTTGAAAAAGAATATTGTTGTTCCATTTACGAGTCAAGGAATCTATTGGTATTCAAGTGAGTTTAATTCTCGTATGAGATGTATAATTAACATCGACAATTTAGGTGCACCGGGTAATAACTCTCAATCAGAATTTCAAGCATCTGGTGCGTACATATTTCGACCGATTTCATCAAATCCACAGCAAGTCAGTTGCACTCGTTCGATGTAAGTCGATTCTTTTTGGTACACTGAGGAAACATGATGATCACCGATATTTGCCAGAACATGTATCAAAGGCGAAACTATTCAAACAGCTGTGATTGTCTTCAATGATTGGGCCAGTCAAGAAATTACTCTTTATGACGATTCAAAAGCAGTCGAAGTTCAATGGACAGTTGGGCCGATACCAATCGCAGACGACGTTGGCAAAGAAATTATTCTTCGTTACGATACAGACATTCAAAGTGGAGCGAAATTTTATACAGATGCTAACGGACGTGAAGTTCTCGAACGTGTACGAGATTATCGTCCCACGTGGAATTACACAAAAGTCGAAGCAGTCAGCGGAAACTATTATCCAGTCAATAGTCGTATTTGGATTAAAGAATCTAATCGTCAATTAACCATACTCACTGGTACGATAGAAAAGGCAAAAGATTCTCTATTCCATATGTTTTCCTTTTCATAGATCGATCTGAAGGTGGTGGCAGTATCCGTGACGGTTCACTCGAACTGATGGTACACAGACGTACGCTTTTTGATGATGCACTCGGTGTCGGCGAACCCTTAAATGAAACTGCTTTTGGACAAGGTCTTGTTGTCCGTGGTAAACATTTTCTCATCGTCGAAAAGCCTGAATCAAGTGCTCTCTATCATCGATTTCAATCTCAAAACTTATACATGCGTCCACTAGCAACCTATGCTTTACCGCATTTATCCTATGCTGATTACTCTGCTACGTATCGTCAAACATGGTCTGCTCTAACAAAGGACCTTCCATTAAATATTCATTTGTTGACGTTCGATCAACTCGATACCAAACAATATTTAATTCGTGTTGAACACTATTTTGAAGTGAACGAAGATGATACGTATTCAAATGCAGTTACATTTGATTTACAACAACTATTTCAAACACTGGGCACTATTACTGATATTGTTGAATTAACTTTAGCAGGTAATTTAGCACTAGCTGATATGGAACGATTAGAATGGATAACTAAAGAAGGTGAATCATCGAAGATGAAAAAGTCCAGTAAGTTTCAAATATCCTTCCTTGACTTTGCACTATCGCCTTTTCCTTCTTCTAGAAAAAATCTCCGTCAAAGATGTGAATATTGTTTTAAAACCCATGCAAATTCGAACATTCCGTGTAACATTGGCATAGAAACTATTCAAATTCGTCTATAAACAGAAATTAGCTAGACTGCGATTTTAATCTTGCTCTTTTAGTTAGATATTTCTTATTCACCTCAGAAAAAAACTCAATAAATATCAGTTGTTTCGATTGAACGATTGCTCATAAATACATATATTTGTTTTCAATACGGACGAGATTTACAGATAACAATAAATAGACCAACGGTCAAATACAAGAAGAGTGCAATGACGAATGTCGCTACTGCCCACGAAAACGATCGATTCGAGTAAATCAATGCTTGTTCGTAATGGCCATGGCACTCGCATTTCCAAGATTTTGATGCAAAATAGATCGCTCCCAGACCTATGAGATATCAACAAATGACGATTCATTTTTTGTTCTGACTTCTATCATTTACCAGTCGGAAGGAATAAGATAGTTGCAATAAGTGCACAGAGAAGGTGTCGTTTGGGATGTGCTTTTTTATTGACAAATAATTGTGCTGAACTTTGGCATGATTGTTCTAAACCAATGAGAAGGATAATATTTAATCATATCTTGCGACATTGTCTTACCATAACCGAATGAAGTAGTACCCCGCTCATTTGTTATCGATCGACCTGGTGATGACCAATGGCACGAAGTTAGTTTAGGATGCGAATGAAAGATCGAACACACTTGTGAAGAAAACATAATTGCTTTGCCTTCCAAAGAACGCGAACGCAGAAATAGGAATGTTTGTATATTCAATCTAACGGATAATATATGGTATTGTGCAATCCATTAATCAGCCGTTGATTTGTTTATCAACATTCTCAGAGAGATTCAAAGCAAAATTGTTGTATGAATGCCAGACGGAGCAAATCTTTTCTTCAATGTTTTCTTTTAACAACTTTTTCTTTCGTGCATTATTTATCGACATCAAATTTGCATCAATAAATAATTATCGTCTTTGTTAAATCATAGATTTGTCAATCGAAGAATTAAATGAACGTTTCTTCTGTCGAATTTTTTCGTTTTGGAAAAAAACTATCGTTTCGAATTTTTCCTTGGCATGTGATTTTAACCATATGTGACTTTTTCTTTCCTTTGTAGATATTCGTTTTTCTCGAAACATCGCTCCTATAGTTTAATAGAGGCTTAGTCAAGTGGCGCAGCTGTTCTTCTCTATTTCGTTCGTAGAGGTGACGATGACGACGGAGACTATAATATCAGTAAAACATTTCACATTTTTGCGTTCGTTTGATCTTTCACCGCTACACACAAATCGTTTCATTCGAATTTTTCTAGACTATTCAACGTAACTATTTCCAATGTCGTCGACAAATTCGGCCTCAGCATTAGCTGAACAGAATCCCGAAGATACCTATGAACAATATGAAAAGTATTTAAACGCCGGCAGGTAACGACAAGCGAAAACATTCATCGCGAAGATTATTAAAAACTTTTAAATATGTGTTGATTAGTGGTGGCAAACAACGTAGTAAAGTGGAAGTACAATTGAACTCGCAACATCACGATGCTGGCGGTGATACACGAAAGATTGTTCAAGCCATGGTCAATAATGAAAAGAATCAAAAACACGAAAAGAAATAGGAATTTTTCATTATGAGACTTATAGTGATCGCTCATCTTCATATATATTCTTTGGGATAGTTGAAGAGATTTTATCTCTGTTCTTGTTTCATGTATTCTTCATTTTCAATAAACAAGATTTTTCTTTCTGGTTCTACGTGATATCTATTTATATACACGCGACACACGTGGACTGAATGAATATCGGCGGCGTGCATTTTTAAGCTTTGCCCGATAATATAGTAGATCGTCGATAGCAACGAACGATAGATAATTGTGAACCATGCATAAAGTCAACATACTCTCGCCCTCGAGATACATTAATTGTTAAGTATGAAACATTAAAAAAAAACATTCGGTTTACCACAAGGAAATCGTTATGACAGCACGAAACATTCATTGGATCATAGATAGTTTACTTTCTCGACTCTAATTTGAACTGAACTGTCATTCTTTCGTTTTCAAATTCAAAGCAGCAATTCTTGCATGTAAAATCTGTAATGATGCAACTAGCGCCACATACAATCGTATATAAATTTTCAATTGAAATTAACAATAAATTTTACTCATCTGGATTCTCTCAATCCACTAATAATTAAATATCGATTTTTTTTTCTTGGACTATTTTTTAAGTAGTTTCAATGTTTACCTGTACACCACTGTTGTCATGGTTATAACAATCAAAAATGGTCACTGATATTCATATACATTCGAAATGAGTTTAGATTACATTTGTTGAATTACAATAAAGTGTCAAGTATTCTGTCAATAAACAGACCGATAGTTACCTGTTACTCCTCAATTCGATCATTCTCTTAAACCATGGCTCAACCTGGTGTTCTTTCTGTAAAACAAGTCATCGGTGTGCGAAGTTTGGTCACGAACGGCTTGGCATTTCAAGATGAGCAGACCGTTGTATACATCGCTGGTGGAAATATTGTCCTATATGGTATCGATCAGAAATCACAAAGAGTTATTCCATGTTCAATCAACGCTCAAGGTAAAAGTTCTCATTAGCATATGTGATATAAACAACAATATGATGTTTTCTAGCACTGACAACAATGACTGTTAGTCCGAATCGACGTGTGATAGCCATTGCTGAAAAAATCAACGATCATCCATCAGTGACCATCTATGATCTTCAAACTGGTAAACGAAGAAAAACATTACAACCTGAAACAATGAAGTCTAGCGATATCGTTTCATTACTGTTCTCACCGGATTCGAAATATTTATTGACGCAAGGTGGAGCTCCCGACCACTCGCTCATCTATTGGTCTTGGGAAAAAGGAAAGGTGATGGCTAGCATTGATATAAAATCAACAACAGCTTCACAAGCGCCTGCCTCGGTTAATCAGGTTCGTTATCCACATAGCTAATCTAATGAGATTATCTCTAAATACGAAAAGCCAATATAGTCGGCCTTAATTGAGTATAATGAAAAGAATTCAACTAAGTTAGATTTCCTATTCATTGCACTCATAAAGCTTCACGAATAATACCGATGAAAACATACAAAATACTAGTGAAGCAAGCTTTGAAGTCCCACGTATTGTTTAGGTCTCGTTCAATCCTCAAGATAATACTCAGATATGTGCGATTGGCAATGGCATCTTCAGAATGTTTCGATATAACGAATCCGTATTGAAACCATCTCAAAATCTTAAACAAGAGCAACACAATTTCACTTGCCATTGCTGGGTATCGGATGAACGATTGTTAGCTGGCACTGATCAAGGCAAACTGTTTTTGATCCAAAACGGTGAAATCCTTCATGAGATCAAACTTGATGCAAAATTTGAGTCACGGTAAAACAGTAACTTTCAACATTGAAGGTTTTCTATTTTTGAATACATTTCAGATCCGTAACAAGTCTACATTCTGGTGACGATCGTGTAGGCATTGGTGAAAGTAACATGGACATTAATCTCGAGGATAATTATGCCAATAAATCTGAAGTGACATGTATCGTACCATTTTCACGTGGTATTCTGGTTGCTGCTGGCGTTAACAAAGTATATATGTTCGATCGAATTGATGACAATCGAGAATATTATCGACGTAATCGAGAAATTGTCTTGCCCAACAATTCTGAGAAGATGAATAACCAACAAGTTGCTTCCATGTGTTTAAGTCCTTCGGAAGAGACGTTAGTTGTTGCTACAGATCATCAACAAATCTATCAAGTTTCGTTTTCCAACATCGATATCACCAAAGTAAGGGATCACTATCAACAACATTTTGTTTTTTTTTTCATTTCTCCTATGTTTTAGGATGTTGCTACGTTCACATTCTTAGCAGATGGCAATCATTGTGCTCAAGTGACTGGATGTGATACTTGTATTCGAAAACAACTGATCGCCACTTGCGGCGTCGATAAAACCGTCCGAATCTGGAATTATGAAACAGGGTAAGAGTTTATTATTTTGTATCTTTTCGATAAAACGAGCAATGCAATTTGTTTTAGTGCACTTGAGATATGTAAAGAGTTTCAAGAAGAAGCCTATGCTGTTTCTCTACATCCATCGGGCTTGTTCATTCTCGTTGGATTTGCAGATAAACTGAAATTATTCACAATCCTGATCGATGACCTTCGTCTATTCAAAGACATTCCTATCCGTGGTTGTCGTGAAGCGTTGTTTAGCAATGGTGGACACTTATTTGCTGCCGTACATGGCAATGTGATTCAAATCTATTCTACAATTACTCTAGACTCTGTCACCAGTTTAAAAGGACACAATGGCAAAGTCTGTTGAGCATTCGATAGAAAAATGTTGAAATAAAGTTTTACCTTTAGGTCCGACAGCTGGTTTGGTCACCGGATGATGCACGATTGTTCTCGTGTGGTATGGATGGAGCCATCTATGAATGGGAAGTGGCAACCTCGAAACGATTACACGAGGCCGTTCTAAAAGCATGTGGTTACACAGGACTCGGCATTAGCGCTGATGCTAAAACAGTATTTGCTGTGGGTACTGATAGAAAAATTAAGGAAATTTACGAAGCACAAGTTTGTTCTCTTCTCACTTATTTCTGACAGATGATTAAGTCAATTTCGTTTTTAGCAAATCGTTCGTGAACTTCCAATCACTCCGGACGACGTTCAGCCGACATCGATTGCAATTAGTCATACGGGTAAATCTTTATTAGTTGGCACTTCGAAAGGAACTGTTCGGTCATACGCATTCCCATTATCGAAACCGGATGAATTCACCGAATACGTCGGACATGTTGGCATGATCAATCGAGTAATGCACTTGAATTCCTGGCTCCAATCGTTTACTATTCAAACATAATCTTTATTTAGTTACGCATCACATATCTAGATGAATATGCTATCACTGTCGGTGATGATGGTATTGTCATCATATGGACCTTACAAGAAGTTGGTATTGCGAAAAAAGAGAAAGACATCATCTATGCTGAGGAAATTCTGATTACAAAAAGTGACCTGGAAGAAAAAGTAAATATTCTGTTTTGATCTGTTCTCGCTAGTAAATTCGATCTGTTTGAAGAACGCACTGATACGTGAATTGAAACAACGTGTGTCGGAATTGCGTGAAGAGAATGATTATCAATTGAAACTGAAAGACATGACTTACACGGAACGAATTCGTGACTTAGGTGATAAATTAATGCAAGAAATGGAGAATTTGAAAATGAAACATACCGTTGTTACTGCCGAAAAAGAAAAAGAGGCTAGTAAACATGCTGAACAACTGCATGATCTTCTGGAAAAGCAAACCAAAGAATTACAAGATTTAGGTAAGGAAGATCTCTTCTCTAAGAAGTTTTCTCTTAAAACATTATTTTCATGTAGTATTCTTCTTTTCGTAAGTTGATCTAATCAGCCATGAATTTGCGTATCAGTTGAATAGAATTTTCCTGAACGAAGTTTTGATTTGTTCTCTTTTGTCTGTTCGTAGAAAGTTCCAATAATCAAAAGCTCATGCTCGAATATGAGAAATATCAAGATCTTCAAAGTAAAACCCAGAAAACCCAAGAAGACTACGAACGGCAATTGACCGAATTGGAAAATAAGAAAGAAGAAGACGTCGCACGGCAACGATTGAAATACACCACGGAACTCGAGAAGATCAAAAACCAACTATTTGTCGTATGTTATTTTCGAATTAAACTTCATCTATCATCTGTATCATTATTAAGGAACATGAGAAAGGCAAACAACAATCGCGTGATTACGAGGAAACTAAACGTCAAATTGAAGAGGATGCCGATGAAGAAATTCTCAAATTAATGCAAGCAAATGAACAAGCGTTGAGTCAATGCAAAGAAGAAAACGTCAATTTGAGAAATAAAAGTACAACCTATCAACGAAAAGTAGGTTGATATTTGCAGGAAAAACGAGCGATTCCATTTTTATCATTGCCAAGGTGAAAGATTTAGAAGAAGGTATTCGAAAGAAAGAAGTCGATTTGGGAAATTCCAAGAGTGAAGAAGTAAAATTACAGAATAATATTCGTGGGCTGAAAAAGGATATCGAAGGATTGAAAAAAGAAATCCAAGAGCGGGATGAAACCATTCAAGATAAAGTAAAATCTTTTGTAGGAAAGAAAAACGTTATCGAATATGTTCCTCTAGGAAAAACGAATTTATGAATTGAAACGTAAAAATCAAGAATTAGAAAAATTCAAGTTCGTCTTGGATTATAAGATCAAAGAATTGAAGAAACAAATTGAACCGCGTGAAATTGAAATCAAAGATAAAAAGGAACAAATTACAAATGTAAATAATCTTCATTATTCTCTTCTTTATTCATTCAGTTTTCGAAAATTGATTGTTCTTTCAGATGGAAGCTGAGCTTGAACGATTGAGTAAAAGCAATGATGAAGAAAAACTGAAAAATGAAGAATTACGTTCGAAACTAAATGCGTCCTCTCTAGCTTTACAACAAGAAAAACAAATGGTTTGTCAATGAAACTTATGCATCCATAAGCTAATCGATTTTTCCATTTCTAATAGAAACGAGATTCGGAACTGGCTTTGAAACGTATCAAAACAGATATTCACAATTGTTCAGCATTGATTACCGAACCAAAATTATTGACACAACGCGTTGCCGAGATCTATGCTCAATATGTTCGAGAAGATGCGGTAAATGACCATCGAAATAACACTTTGTTTGAACTAATTTTCATTGAATTAGACCGAAGAAGCCAATATCGATCAAGACATAACTAAAGAATATGCTCGACAACGTGATCATCTCGAACGAACTGTTCGAAGTTTAAAGGTATTTTGATATTTTCACTCGAACCTGTCTCTCATTGCTTTTTTTTGCTAGGCTAAAGTTGATAAGGACTCCGAAAGACACAAAACAGAAAACATTCGTATCATGCAAGTAAGTTTTCGTTTTACCCAAACGATTTTAGCCTCATTTCAAACGTTCACTTACTCAGGAAAACGTCACGTTAATCAAAGAAATCAACGATCTACGACGCGAATTGAAAGCTGCTCGAGTTAAGTTACAAGAACTTCAAACAGCTATGGGTATCAGTCGTAAAACAGCTGCACGTACCACAGAAGATATTGTTCAAGCATTGAATACACATCAGAACGCACACATTGTCAAAGAAAGACAAGGAGAATTAGAGAATTTAATCCAACATCAACGCCAGGAAATTCAACGACTTCACGAACAAATTGCTATTATGGAGTCCGGCAATAGACGTAGTAGTTCAGCAACTGGTAATCGATCGCGTCCGACCTCGGGACAACTGCCACCGATCCCATCAGCATTAACAGCTCATTGACACTCCTATGTATGCATATTTTATTCATCAATTCTACTTTTTATTTTTTGTCATTTTCAAACAAAAAATATATATTTAATCTTTTCTTCTAATAAGCATTGATGAAAATTGTTCGTTCTTCAAACAACTTGCGCCATCTGTGCGAGGAATAAACTACAATTAAAACATTCAAGGTGTTCATTTACGATATTAATGGTAGCTGATTGTTGATTGGTAGAAAAGTGATGTTTTCTTTATCACATGGAGAATTTCATAGAAGCTCTTCCTGTTTCTAATTTATCTCGTCATTATGTCATGTTTCTTTTTGTTGACTGCATGACTGAATAGCTAATTAATCGAGTTTGACGGTGCCAGAAAACGTTTTTTAACTTTCAAAAAGCGCGTTTGATTTCATGTTTGTTTTCAACTGAATATTTCAGATGACGGAATGTTATTCAGCTCGTTGTCAACAGGATCGTAAATTAGCTCGACGAGAATTTAATAAATGGACCAAAAATGTCTTGCTACAAATTGGTAAAGGGAAAAATTTTAACAAGAAAACAAAGAACATGCTTGTTTTATCTTTTCAGGATTAGAGACAATATCAAAAAATCATTTGGAGTTCGATGTGAACATATTCCAAGATAAAGATGGTGAGGAAAAACAAGATTTTTATGCAGAAAAGACTGACATTTCGACTTTGTAGAAGAACAAGTACCAGTTGATTTTAATGCCGATCAAGAATGTTTGTTTTGTCTCAATCGACAAGAATATTTAGGCAGTAAAAAACATCTCAGTCGATCGAACGAGCATCCGCATCATTTCATTAAAGAAACAGTTATTGACGACGAGGAAAATGCACCACTGGACTTAAGTTTAAAGTCAACCGCAAGTCATCCGCCATTGATCACCTCAAATCATCGAACAAATGTCAAGTAAATACACACGCACGAGAAAGTTCTCACGAAACAAACATTTTCCTTTGTAGACATCGACCAATGTTTGATATCAAGTCAGATATGCCATCAATATATGGTCAAGAAGAATTCGATCGTTTTATGTCTGAAATGATCACCAGTCAGTTAGGTAGAGTCTTGACAAATTGAATGTCATCGTTGGATTGAAAGTGTTATGTTCGTTAAGAATTTTCACCTCAACCGTATATGAATTTGAATCTGTTTCCAACATCGCCGACAGTTCCGATTTTACACTCTCAACCACCGAAAAAGAAAAGTTCCATCTCGCAAGATAATCGCATTGCTCAGTTAGCCAAACAAATGGCATACGAACGAATGCTACAAGAAATTGAATGTCAACGTCATCCATCTTCAGTCAATAAGAAATCAAAGAGTTCATCCAATCATTCATCATCTATTCTCACCGAATCATTTCATGTTAATCATTTACTTAATGATGTCATGATGCGTATATTGCACGAAATGTTCGAGAAACAAAAACAGCAACAACAGCAAGCGGTAACCACATCTACACCACAACCGCGTGCGTCGCGTAAAGGTGAACTATTGTTTGTTAAAAAGCAAAATACCAATAATGATGAACAATACAACTCAAATATTTTTAACCATTTTAACAATAATACTAATCATAGCAATAGCACTGAAAAGTCACAAAAGGTTTGTAGATGGATTCATTTCAATTGTGTTCATACTGTAAAATATTGTTATCTGCTTAGCATGTCGACAAGGTCAATCCTCCGTCTTCAAGTTCTTCATCTGCATCGAGTGTCTCATTGACTAGTTCGTCATCGATTCATAAGAAAAGTAAACATAAGTCCAAATCACATCAGTCAACGTCATACATTCCGAAAGGACGATCGGTGGATATTATAAATAATAATAACAAGGTTAATATTGGTAATGATGGCAAACAAATCCGTCCAAAGCGTGGACAGTATCGTCGTTATGAATCGGAACAACTAGCTAAAGCAGTCGCAGCGGTTTTAAGCAATGAAATGTCTGTACATAAAGCAGGTTCCTATTTCGGCGTACCGCACTCGACGGTGAGTTTGATTAACTCTGAGTTTTCCATTCTATCAATGCATGTTTCAGTTGGAATACAAAGTCAAAGAAAGAAATACGAAAACATCGTCAACAGCTAAGCCTAAGCATGAATCGACATCTATTAATGATAATGATAACAATGTAATGTCACAGGGTGAGTGGAATTTGTTTTTGTTTGATGAAGCTTATCATGAAATATTCCAGGTGGTGATAATGAAGATGACGATGACGATAAATCATCGAAAGGTCTTGGTAGTTGTATACCTTTCTCAAACAGTAATCTGAACGAAATCGATGACGAGAATGATTCGAATGATGCTGATGATGATCTCGAAGAATGTCTCAATTGATTTTCTTCGACAATCAATTAATCTTCTTCTCTACATCTTTCTACTCATTTTTACACATCCATACATCAATTTCTACTTTTTGTTTCAATGTGTATATAGATCTATAGTACATGTTTTTACTAGTCAAGAACGCATCCATGAGAGAATCTTCATGTGTCATTTTCTTTCCTAACAGTCTGCGTACGTGCATTTGAAAACATGGAGGAGAGAGGAATCTTTGTTGTGTGAATTTTCTTTTCAGTTCTTTTAACAAAACATTTCCAAGTTTGTCTGTCATTTTTCTTTATTGTATATCTAAATGTGCATCATTGTCTGTTGCTACAAACACATTCAGTATTTGTTCTTGTTGTTTCTTTCTTTTTTCTTAAATCTGTGTTATTCGACTAGGCCATCCAGCGTGCACACACAAAAAGCAAATAATAAAGAACTTTTCATGTCCTGTTTTGTGCAATACATATACAACTGTTCTGTTTTTCGAGTTTCTAGAAATATGGGTTGTGTCTGCGGACGGCAAAGTGTGGTCATTCAAGGACAAAAGTTTTATCTCATGCGTCAAATTGGCGAAGGGTAGTTTGCTTAAGCTTTGAGATCGAATTCGCGCTTAGGGAGAATAGTTGGTGAATGGATTCTGTTGTTTTTAGGAGTTTCAGTTATGTATTCGAAGCACGGAATACAGCAGATAGTCATCAATATGCAGTGAAGAAAATGTCATGTCATACGGATGAAGAAGAAAAACGTGCGCGAGATGAAATAGAAAACTATCAAAGATTTTCGCATTCAAATTTAGGTTGGCGAAAAGATTCTCGCTGGATCTTTCTTCTCTACAGATCTTTCTATTTAGTTTCACTATTGTATCACGAACAAGTGAAATATAGTCCTAGTGCACATGTGACAAGTATTTTCTGGCTAGTTTTCCATTACTTTAAAGTAATCATCGAAATTGTGTTTGGGCTCAATGTTATTCACCTTCATGTTCGATAGAATGGATCATTGCAGAATGTTTTCGATAGGCAAACGAAATTTACTACTCGTGTGTTACTGGAATTATTCTTAAGTATTTGTGAAGGTGTCCGTCAAATTCATGAGAAACAAATGGCACACAGGTTGTCTTGAATCAGACAGCTAGCAAGATTGTTGATTTATATTTTATAGAGATTTAAAACCTAGTAACGTGATGCTGTTAAATAACTCCCAGGGTGTTATATTAGATTTTGGTTCGATGACACCAGCTACGATTTCCATCACAAACCGATCTGATGCACAAAAATGGCAGGTGAGTTTAATTAAGAAAGCAATCCTTCGACTTGATCATAGCTGTTTAGGATTGGGCAGAAGAAAACTGTTGCGTACAATGTAAGTCAATCTATGAAGATCGATAAAATTACATGGATTTGAATAGATCGTGCTCCGGAGTTATTTCATATCGAGACAAACGCTGTAATCACTTCGAAAACGGACATCTTCTCATTGGGTGGGATTCTGTACGCATGCTGCTTCGGCAAAGGACCTTTTGACGATGTATATTCAAGAGGAGATAGGTAAGACACTATTTATTCCTTTCGCTGTCTATGAAATCGAACTTCTGTTGTATATTCAGTGTTGCATTAGCCATTGCCAGTGGTCGCATTGAACTTCCTGTTCAATCCTCGACCTATCCATCGATCATCATCGATACCATGCTTTCCATGCTTCATACTGAACCTGAGCAACGTCCAACCGTCGACGAGGTAATCGATGTACTCTCAAGTGCTGCGCGTTTGACAATGGATATTGCATAAATGTTGGTTTTATTGTAAAAATGTGTGATGTTTCGATCTATCTTTCCTGTTCAGTTATGAACGTTTTACAAAACAAATGTACAGCATGTCGTAAATATAATTACAAGGGTTAAAAATAAAGAAGAAAAATCTGAACGATAAGAATAAAAACGTGAGAAGAAGGAGAAAAAGAACAAAACAAAAGAACTCTATAACCAAATTTCAAATTGACTATCTTTACAAATAATTTCATATGTTTCACTATGATGTAAACGAAGTGAGTTGATTTCGAAATAATTTCGAACCTGTCGATCATCTTGCGGACTTTTATCCAAGATATACTTATTTGTTCGTTGAATTTTCAAACTGATTAATTCAATGAAAACATCTAACATTGTTTTAATTGTTTTCAAATCTACATATAATTTTGGGTTAATATCAATGGTTAAGTGTTCAAGATAGGGAAACAATGCCGGTAAATCGGTTAGGATACGATTTAAACGATTCTGCCGATCGATTTGCATGCAATTTAGTTCTAAGGCTTGAATGCGTGTCAAATACGAGGCATCCGGCGATGGAATTCGAAGGAAATATTTGATAAGCAAATAACCTGTAACTGTCAATGTTGTTAAATAAGGTGCCAATGAAAAGATTAATGGGAATAATCGTCCATCACATTCATTGATAATCAAATGCTTCAAATGTTGAAATACGAGATTGGATGGCTTCGATGATAGTTGACATGAGTCAGTTGTTGGAATGACGATATTTTGTATTTGTAAAGTATGAACTTTCAGACAGTGTTGTTTGAACAATTCGATTAGTTGCTGATTGATTTCATTGATGGTTCCATGTGTAGCGTCGAGCACTAGTTTTTCAACGGATTTGAAGTTCTTTTTCAGAATTGATTGATTGAATAAACGCGAATTCGAAGTGGATAATTTTAATGTATCGAATGCATATGGTAAGGTGAAGAGTTTCAATCGGGTTTTGTTCGAATGTGGACGCCAGATGATATGTCCGATGGGCCAATGATTATCGAACGATGAAAATGATGCAAGTATCGAATTGAGCCGAGTATGAATATCATCAACAGGCATATCGAAACAAAACTGAAGTTGTTTCAGACGTGGAAAGGAATTTTCAAGGAAGATTTCCCATCGATGGCCGCTAAAACGACACACGCTTTTTACAAAAAGAAAATTATCGTTCTCTAAACTTACTTGAAATACGTTTGATCAGTTGTAGTACGATTGAAATAAGCTAAACGTTCTAATCTAGCTGCACGTATTCGACTTGTCATTAGTAGGACAAATCGATCGAAATTCAATTCATTTCCTGTCACATGCAATTCAAAATCAACTAAATTTATCGGAGGTTTGCCAGATAAGGGAACATTCAGCGGGGTTTGATCAGCAAATAATTTCACACATAGCTTTTGTAAGTTCGGTACATGTTCTAATAGTAACAAAAGACTATCGAACGATCGTAAGGGTATGGTCAACTCTTTCAAGTGATCATAATTCGCTGGGATGTCTGTTTTAGCAACGAATTGTAGATAGTCGTTGTTGTGCATTTCGATGGTTATCGACTGTAAAGTTTTGATTTGTGTTAAACCGAAAAGATGATGCTGTAGGCAGCTTTTGTATGTGACTTCGTTTGTTGACGATGACGGTCGTTGAATTCGAATGTTGAGTGTGCGAATCGACATTTGTTTAAGTTTAGAAAAGATTAAATTTAGTTCTTCAATAGTCGGATCAACGAGCGATAAGCGTTCGAGAAATGGGAAACGGTGAAGGTTCAAATCAATACGGAATACTTGCTTAATTGCATACTAAACAAAAAAAAGATCATATGAGATCTTTTAGTTCTTTCGACTAAAATTAACTTACCTGATTGTTAATCACCAATGATTTAACATTGGACAGATGATTTCGGATATGTTCGAATTGTTCAATAGATAACTTGGAACAATCGATATGATGTGTGTAGGGTTGAAGTACGTGATTAAAGCGTTGATTAAGATTTAAAAACGCATAAAACAGATCCGACTGAGAGAGATATTTGAACACTTCAAATAAGATTTCATTCGGCAAACTGCCTTCGAACGTAGTAACGGGTTTCTTTTGATCTCCAAGATTGTCAAACATCGTTGTCGGTTGTTTAATCTCTAAAAAGAATGAAGAAAACATTTGGCGCAAGAGTGTCACATTTTGAATGTCGCCATACCTGATTGATTATCGATAATAACCACTGAACAAATTTGATTTTCACTTCCTGTTGTTGCTGATAGAGCTCGTCGTTTAATTCCATTGGAATTACTACTATTAATTTCATCGAACGGCCGTTTGGAAAAGTTTGGAAACAATGCTTCGGCAATAACAGCACTGTTCGTTTTCGAACGATCGCGTCTCTTACGTCTGCGCGTTAGTTTCGTCATTTCAGACATGACTTCTGTATGCGAATAGAAGAATGAAACTTTTTCGTCTTTGTTTTCTACGAATGAATAAAGGAAATCTTTCTTGATTGCTTTCACGTGATATAAATAAAGCTCGACGACAAGACGTATGTTGAAAGAACATGATTTTGGTTATTCGACGAAACCAATAGAAATATCCTCGGGATAGATGGCGCTTTTGTAATATGTCAAAAGCGATATTCATATCGAGTCGAGCAATGCCATGCGATGTATGCAAGATGATGATATGATTTAGTTTACTTTTTTTTATGGAGTTATTAAGAGGAAGGATTACGAAGCAATTTCATTTCCTTTTCTAAAAAAAAAGAAGCACGAGAACGTCATATTTCATTTCTTATATCTTAATCTGAAAAGATTGCATTCTTTTTCCGACATACAGCATTTTAGTTCACAAAAAATAATTAAAAATTTAAGTTTCTAGAATATAACCAGTGCTCTTTTTCTTTGTGCACTTTTACTGTCAAACATTTCTATATATCTTCTGTCACTTTGTATAATCATATCTTCCTAAAAACTGGTCCAATGAATGTGTTTATGCGCTCTACTCGCTCGAAAGAAAACATGTCCTTTCATAATATTTGCTCTCTTCTCTTTATCTTCGAGAAAATGAGCTCTTTGTGTAGGTTGCTCATTTGTAGCTATTATCCTGGAGAGAAATGTTGTCTCTCACCGTATTTCCCGTTATATACATCATAATTAGTTGAATACATATTTTTCTCGTCGACTCAGTTACATGTTAACCATACGCAAATAACTTCAACAGTTACGTCGAGTCTGAGCCTAGAGTAATTCACGATGAGACGTTCGACAAAATATCGTCATCGTCAATGTGAAGTGAAAGGTTTGTTTTTGTTTGCGGAAGCGAAGATAATTGGCAAAATCAAACAAGTATCTGTTCAAGTATGTTTCAACTCTACGATAAGTTCTGAATAGCAGTGATTACTGAGCGTACTGAAGAAAAATGCGTACTAATGTCGACTAATCGAGCGTTTGGAAAAACGATCAAACAAATCCGGCGAGTACGACGTTCATGCACGTTCATTTCTCACATGTTATTTTACCGCTAAGTCATTGTGACAAGTAATTAGCTCACATTATAGTTCCACATGAGAATTTTAAAGTAAGAAAGTATCAGCTATCCTATGGACCTGTGATAGAGCAGAATTCCTGATACTCTTCGTGATGCTAGTCAACAAAGCATGTATATGAAAACAATAATAAAGATCATATTCAATGATAGATTAGTATCTCGTTCGAACAATGGCCTAGAATTCTCTCGAGATTCGAAAATGTACCCTTGTCAGATGATTTTTCGTTCTATTGATTCATAACTGATTACTTTCTTTCGATACGTTTATTCCATCGTACTCTATGCAGCTAGTTGCAAGTCAAATAGTGCGTTAAACTATTCTCCATACGTCATCTCCTCTAAATATTTTTCCAAATGACAGGAACCTAAACATCTGCCCAATGAAATGACCTAAAATTTCCATTATATTTACTTTCAAACCTGTATCTGCGTTATCTAATTTTAGAACATCAGAACGAAAGCAGCATTTAATGGATACATGCTTGAATTAAACAGTAGGAATCATTGTGATTACATTGAGGTCTTTGTTTTCTTTCAGCTCTCGATTAGCATATATAGTCAATTTTCTTTCATCAGATCATTCTGCGTCGAAGGGGGGTACTCCTCTGTAAAACTGACTTGACGAGATTTTTCTTCCTATTCGTTGAAGCATTGACATTTATCGAATAATTTATTACTATGTGCCAGTACTGCGAATATTTTCTTTTCATGCGCGTTCAAAACTAGAAAAGATCGATGATCGAAGAAAAAGTACACCGAAAAAAAAAGCAATCTTTTCGAGTTATTAATAGAACGTATGACGAGCTTTTTTAGTGTTATTATAAAAGACTTAGATCATACAGATAATAAATTCTCTCAAAGACGGCTTTCATGTTCTTTTATTAGAACAATATAGCGTATGGTAAGTCGTTTATCCTATTCATTTTTTTCACACTTGAATTGTGAACGGTCGCCTACATCATGGGCGTTTGGCCTTACGAATCTCATCAATCTACACGCATGAATAGATTTGCTTCAAGTTGTAAATGTGCCTTTATCGATGAGTTCGCCTATAGATATCATCAGAATTCGATGAATTATGGTGATCCAAGACATTTTCTACTCTAAATGTGATGTGTTCAGTGACGCAGAAATCCATTCACTTAACAATTACATCCAAGAAAATTGAAAATCTTACTTGCAGTACTTTCGCTTGCCTCGTTTAACTTAGTCATTACGAAGTACATGGAGAGCTTTATTTGGCTTTCAGGTTTCTACCATAAGATAACACAAATCGTTCTAGTATTTATTTATTTTATAGTCTTATTTTTGAAAAGGTCACGTCTTTACTCATTATCTTTTTCTCTGTCCTCATTCTCGACACTTAATGTCACTTACTCTCGCACAGTACAGAGAATTGTTTCATTTTCTTTATAGAAAATAACACGCACATTTCGTCGTTTCTTCTCTTTCTCTCTCTCGCTCTCCGTCTTTTCTTGCCGAATGGCATTGTTAAACGATATGTTAATGTTGTCGCTCATTTCTGTCAGAAACACAAGATGAAATCAGAAACTTATAGAGGAAGTTATATGACAAATGTTAGTATATTTGTAGAAGTTATTTTTAGTAACCTTTTCATTTCTCGTTATATTCAACAAATATTTTCAGATCAAACATAACTGTGTCAAATTTGTTCAACTAATTTGAAATGGCAACAAAACGTGGAATTTGTTTCAGATTACTTTCATCCGTTCATTCCTAACTAAAAACCAATGAGCGCAAATACTTCGGATTCAAATATCATACCGATTTACAAATTATATTTCGATGATATTGAAGAAATCTTCTTCAACACAGTATCATTCAAATATTTGTATATATCAACATTTGTTACCGTTTTCCTAACGATATTCAGTATTATTATATTGTTCTATCGATCTCGGACGATATTTTTCCCATGTCTCATTCCGTTCATCTATTCGATGATCTTCTACGATATAATTCAATTAATATTCATCATTCTATTGAAGTTCAATTTAATCATGATCCAAGAAAAGTACTTCAGCGGTTTTTGTCGATGGCCACACTATTTGAAAGCATCGTCGGAGGGCGGACAATGTTTAACACTCATATTTATCTATGCAATACGCTGTCAGAAAGTTCAGTACTTTCTCAAACATCACTCATTGCCGAACTCGAGTCGAGTACATTCCCGGGCGCTGACATTAGTTTGTTTATTGGTCATTGTATACATTAACAACTGGATCACGCATTTGAAAGTTGAGAAGATTCACTTGGTAATGTTGAACCGGTGGAACTCGGAGGTTAGTATTCAAGAGTATCCCATGCCGTTGTATCATATAAATGACATGAAATTGAACGATTATTCGAAATTCTATGCTGATCTGGATAAATATGCTCGAAATTATCAAAAATTACGGATTATACCAACTAATCCGGAAAAGATTATTCACACTCAAAAGGATGATTCGACTTTCGAGATACTTATCAAAGTTCCGTATAATTTATTTAGCCCGCAAAATTCTACATATAAAAACCGAACCCGAAAGAAGCCGAAAAAAATCCATCGGAAATTCAATAAATCCCAAATCAAAAATATGTCCTATCGAGTACATCGATGTACTTATGGCCAACGAAATTATTTCTTAGCCAATTTCATCACTCTAATTCATTCATTCTTCTACCTTTCGATGATTGTGTATTATCTAATAAGTGTCAATCGTTATCAAATTCCATCAATGGATATCGAATATCATCGAGCATTGTATGAAAAAGCGCTTGTTCTCGAGCAAAATAAATGCGCTGAACGACATAGACAACTGATGTTATTAGCATACTTACGGTATTTTCAATATATCATTGTTTATTGCCATACGACATTCATTCTCATCCGTCTGGTGTACATATGTTCGTTGACGATACTTTTATACTTCGTGTCATCACCGTTCAAATGGCTACCAGTCAAAATGTTCTTTTACTCGCTGTTCTGTTTGGTTTATTACTCCATTCCAGTTCGTTTAACCTTCTTATTTTTCTATTTGTCTTTCAGCATATTTTCATCATATATTTCCTCAATATTTCATTATATTCTTCATACAAAGCTGCGTTTTTCATGGAGGCTTCGGCGGCCGACTATCCATTTTCATCTACGCTTTGTTCCGTATCATCAAAGTGATGGAAATTCAAATGAACATTCGAAAAATTCTTTTACACTCGATCTAACATCATCAGCTTATGAAGAACATTCAACTAGTTATCCGAACGAGTCAGTTGTTATCTATGACGATAATACTAGTAGTCAAAATGTCATAACCACAAGTAATTTAACAAGTCTAAATCAATTTCAACAAACTTCACTGTGATGTAATCTTGCTTTTCTCGGTTTTTTGTGAACTAAAAATTCATCTTGAAAATAAATGCATCTTTTTTCTTTTCAATTGTGTCACTCGACTTCTCTCGAACTCGTACTAGTTATTTTTCACAAGAGTAAAATTATTGACAACGGTCTGAGATAAAAGCACTTGCTACTGCGTTTTTCCGAGATGAGATGCTTAAACATAGATGTTTATTCGTGATAAGATCGTCATTCCGTTTAACTGTGCCATGTTTTATTTAATGACATAATCAAAATAAGATCCGCTTTGAGATAAGTCACGTTGTATGCTATGAACTACAAAGTATTTGAAACGTTCTACAAAACAGATTAGGCATTGACCTTTTCGATCCATCGGAGCAAGAAAATCTACCGCTGTCTTAATTAGTATTATATTCGTGCTTTTACGGTTGAACTTAGAGTTCAATATCAAATTGTAACGATTAACGTCATTGAAAATTTCATATAGACTATCGTCAACTTTTCCCGCGCAGGTATCTATAATGTATTGACTGGTTCACTTTGATCTTCTAAAAGTAATCTGAATAATACATGCGTTTATCAGATGTAAATCCGAGAAATGAATAATATATTTTAATCATTAGTAATCTGATATAGGACGATCTGGCAAAGCATACTTGATTCGATGAGTTGGATCCACGCAAGTCTCTAGAGGTTCGGAAAACCCTTGGATGACTCACCTTTGTTTAGTCGATGTAAATAAAAAATATGTAGTTCTTCACGTTATACCCATTAAAGTGAGAAATGCTTCTGCTCTGCATTTGACTAATGTGTGAAGCATGACATAGTGACGTCAAAGTGACTTGATAATATTGTAAATTGAAAAGGATGCGATGGAAGGACTTTTGCTTTCTCAGACAGCATTATTAATAATGAAACTGACGATTACAACAACTGCTCTGATTGAGTTCTCTCGGGTACACGCTTATTTAGCATAATGATCTTAGCGATCTATTTAAAGCCTCGTTAATGAAGTGAAAATAATTGTTAATTGAAAATCCTGATTCCATTAGACTAAAGCAAAATGTTTTTGAAAAAAAAAGACGACGTGTGAATAAATCTTATTATTCATGGTGAGGCGAGCACGTTCGCCCACAATGACAACGTTTCATATAGACTTTAGTACTCAAATAAAAGAAAACGCACAAGCGATAACTTTGTAATCGTATATATTTACATGAATAACAAAATATTCAATCACTCTCAGACAATACAGAAAAAAAATAATAAATAAATATTTAAATGTTTGTGTAATTTGGTTTTTATTCAAATAGCTTCATGGATGTTAATGAAAATAAAATAGATGTCATCGAAATAAAAACTTCAATACAAAAGATAAAAGCTCAGAAATGGCTTTTTCTATTTAACAGTTGTCGAAACTTTCCTCTGCTTCTTCATAACATTGCTTTGAGATGGCGGTACAACCACAGATTTCGACTGCGAAGCGCTTCGATCTGCAAGAAAACGAATCAGTGTGTCAAAATCGATTCAAAATGATAATACTTTTAGTTGTGGCTTTAAGACGACGAGGATTCTCTGTACAACCATTCGGGCCCATTAAATGATCACGCCAGTACTTTTCACCTTCACGAACATTCGCATGACACAACGGACAACGATTCGTATTCGGCTTTGCTTCAATGCATTGTTTAGATTTAATATGATTGTCGAAATCATGTCCGATTGCCTCAGTGCACCGAGGACATTGTTGATATTTGCCTTTTTTTTCACATTCGCGTAGTAAATGTTCGATATGAATTCCGATTTCTATTACCTGAAACGAAAAACTCGCGTCAAGAGAAACAACGAGAGACTAAAATGTCAACAAACTTGATTGCATTCTTTACAACGTTGTAACATGGGACAACTAGCCCAATAGTGCGTCTCAAGACCGTTCCGAATGAATTCAGGATTTTTATCACCGCAAAATATACATGTACTACAAAATCATGAAAAGATCTATTAGCAATTCAAATAGATCGATCATTTTACTCTTCGGGAGTGAATTCCGATTCATCGGCAACACTGGCTGTTGGTGTTTTTCCATCAAATCGTGTTGGAGCTCGAGATTTGTTACTAAGCGAACCTTTTGGTTCAACCTAGAAATTCATGTCAATGCAGAGAGTCATTGCGCAGAAAGGCTTGTTTCTCACCGCTTTCAGTTGTTCACGTGCAGTATGTTGCTGTTTGGATACATCACGTTTCGTGGTATTTTGTGGTTCACTTGGCCGCTTTATTCGATCCAATGGGAGATTTATTGGTGGCTAAATACAAAACGAACATTTGAAGATAAGGCATGGCTTCATTCGTAGAAAAATGCAATACACTCTCAGCTTGAGGATCCATTCGATCAAATGCATTGAACATATCGCGATACTTCTTCATTCGACGTGTTTGATCATTGTTCGGTGGGAGGTAACGTTTGACAACCGCTCCATGAGTCTAAACAGGGAGGTTTTCGTGAATAATCAAAATCTCTTCGCGTTCTTACTTTATATAAGCTAAGTAATAGCTTAATAGCTAATTCTCGGACTTCACCGGCTAAAAATAGAATATAAGTTCAACGTAGAGCATCGCATCACGGGTTTTACGAGTAAAAGATTCCCTACCATTATGTTCTAGTGCTTGAGCACAGAATTTGCCGACATTGTCAACATTTAAGCCTTGATCACCTTTTTGCACATCTAATACTTTCATTAATTCTTCTACAAGTTCACAACGACTAATTGCTAATCTCGGTGCACAGGTTTTATTGAACGGATAAACGCAATCGTGTGGAATGACTTGCAACGGTTTGACTTCGGGATATGAAGCTGCTTCGATAATTGCTTCTTGTGCTCGCAATCTCAATCGAGCATTGGAGTCTCCTGTACGTTGCAGAAGAACAGGCAGGACACGTTCTAAACTGGCAACAATATCTGAACGTTGAATCGAATGTCGCCGTACATAATCATTCATAAGTAAATGGAAAATTTTCAACGATTGAGAGAAAATTGCAAGAACATCGACACGAAACATTCGTGCAACGACAAAACTGCCAGCACGTAAATATGCACGTGCATCCTCCTGATCACCCGAGAATGTATTTAATATTTGATAGATCTCATCTAGCGCTTCTTCACGTTCCAAATGATTTCGATGATACAATTTGCTAACCTAAAGAATAAAACCAAGATGAATTCAATGAAGAAATGCTCAGAATTTCTCTCACTAATTGTTTGTCAAAGACAATCATCATTTGATTAGCCTCAATCATTTCTGCTTGATTCAATTCGGCAGTGGCATCATCAGTAGGTATGGTACTCATGACTCGTGATGATGGATAATCGATGTCGTCAGTAGGCTTCTTTCCGAAATCAGGATTACCCATCGACGAAGTCGGTGGAGGTGCACCATCTGAACGCAAACGATTTCGTAATGTGGGAATGATTTTATCCTCATAAGGTGTTGCTGGTTTCTGATATTCAAGAGCAGGTGGATCGGTTCGGTTGACCATAACACTCGTTCGTTTAACTGAATTTGTAGGGATAGGTGGGAGAGGAGAATTGTAACCACCTATACTAGGAGCAATACTTGTGCGTTTAGCGGTACTGACAATGTGCGGCAATGGTGATGTCGTAGGCTCCTGCGCTATTGATTGAGCAGCAAGCGAGACCGTCGATTGCGCAGAGCGGCGAGATTGAAGTGTACTTTGTGAATGTCCTTGAAAGGAGAAATAATAAGTATAACAACGCACATTTTATGAGAGCAAACAATTACCATGGTTCTGCTGTCTAACTGTACGTGGTGGCTAGAAATAGAAGTTAAAAATTCATAAGCTTTTTCTGTTATTCCAGCTAAATCAATTCATGCAAACAAGTTTTGTTGATTAACATAAAAACTAGATAATCAATAATGATGGGCATGAGAAAAAAAAACAAGTATGTGCATAGGATCAATCATGCAAAAAAATGAGCAAATCACTACCAGGTTGTATATATATCTACCTCCTCTTCGTTATCATCAACATCATCGTCATCATCGTCATTTTCATTATCTTCGTTTTGGTCAATGTCATTTTGTTGTTCATTATTAGTATTTTCCTGTAAACGTTTCAAAAATTCCGTTCCTTCGCCATTCTCCTACGAGATAGATTGCATTTTCACTTGGCAAATACGAATTTGTATGACAACAAAAACAACCCTTTACTTCGTTGTTACTTACAATAACGATATCCAGTAAATTAAGTGCTTGAAGTTGTTTGTATGTTTCCGTTCGCACCAGATCCATTTTGTCTTTTCTCGCCTGTGCTGTGTCATAATCCTCTCGCTAAAATGAAATCAGATAAGATGATCACTCGAAGGTATCCAAGAAGATTTGTTTTTTGAATCTTTTCTACAGTCTGTACTAAGGCATAAAACCTTTCAGTAGTATTATTCTTTGCTCAATTAGAGCGAATTCGTAGAACTTCAAACAGCTCATTAGACAAAGAACATCATCAGCCAGTGAAAATTTCACTGTATATTAATTAATTCAAATACAGTCAGCAAACGTAATATGATCGAAACATATTTGATTAGTATTAGTTTTCTTTACTTTGAAACCTGAATAAATATTGCCGTAAGAACGATTCGCAGGTTTCAGATGAAAACGAAATGAAAATCTATTTATAGGCGATGCTGACATTTCATTGTTACGACAGGGGTGTTTTTAATGATATTATCATGAAAGAATATGTTGGTGTGTAAACATACTTCGATTGCTTTCCGTTTTTCGACTTCATATCGGGCAAGTCGTTCGCCAACCTGCATAGAAACGAGAACAAAACAATGTCGTGTCGTGCCGTTTTGAAAATCACGTCTACTTTGACAAGTTCTTGTATTGCTTGTTTGAATTTCCGCGCTCGATCAAATTTCTCATCTGCATAACAAAACGAAAGTGTTCAGTGAATAAGTGCAAGATTAACTCAGACCTTGAACATATTCTTGCTTTTTTCGATCTAAATTTCGTATGATCACGGCTATTTCTGGATCTTGAAACATCGCAAATGCAAGATCATCGACAATGGAGATTTGTTCCGATCTAATCATACTCGTCAAACATGATCATTTAATAAAGAAACGATGCGATCTACCTGACTGGTGTCGAGTCGAGTGGATGGTCGTAAGTATCACGAAACTAAAACAAGTGCGAGTGTATTCCGGACTTGCATGTGAATTTTTTCATACTTTGTCAATATCATCACCGAGTAAATTGATTGCTACGAGACTAACCTAAGAAAACGAAGTGATTATGAAGGAAATTGAATTCTGATTGAGATTTAATATACTTGATTATGCACGTTGTATCGATTCGAATGATTTTTGTGTAGGATCAATTTTAGAAACCATCCATCAGCATCAACATGAATTGATTTTAGTTCCCGAGCTTTGTAATCACTACGTTCATTGGTGGACAATTCAATAAACCTATTTGCAAATAATTTATCCAAATTACAATATGATAATTGTGTGTTTTACCCTAGATTAGTATAACGAGCATTTTTATATGTCACTTCTTCGTCTGATAAGCAATCGCCGATATGAAATTCGATTTTCGATGCTAGAAATACTCGGAATCGATTATAGGAGAGAACGAAACAAAACAAAGAGTTACCGATTAGGTATTGATGGCACAGTAATTGGAGACGTTTCAGTCGAACATAACTTTCAAATCGAAAAACAAGTTCTTGTGGATAGGAGCATGAGCGACTGCTTTGCCATCCGTTGACGAATGGTTCATGATGATTTAGTTCACTAGCGGGATATTGCTCATCCGAACTTGTGGAATAGACACATTGAAATGAAATTTTTCTTGGCATTATTTTGATTTTCCTATCATAGTAATCAAAAAACTTTTCTTTTCTCTTCTCTCGACATTAATCGAATTTAATCAAATAGTTTTGCTTAGTTCTATCCTCCATAGATTCTCTCGAGGTAACGACGAGTGGAGTTGGCGACTTTTTTCCTATTCGTTCGTTTATGTTATTGCACAATCGACCAATAATACCACACTGTCAAATAAAAGTGGTTTTTGGCGAATGCGTTTGCTGCTTATTCACAATTAAAACGTATTCTCATGTCTGAAAATTCATCTACTTCGAATTTTGATAATTACATTGCTGAACTACATGAAAATCTTGATCGTATACGTGAGATAAACGATGTCGACGGACAATCCTCAGCAATTGTTGCTGATTTAGCACAAGCTTATTCTGAACATCCATCACCGATGCAAACAGGTGATGAATTGAATTGAAAAGCGAAATAAGATAGTTCATTCTCGTATTTCTTTTTCAAGCGATGTGTCTATCCGCTCTATTCGGTGGTCAAAAGAATATTCTCACATATCTTCGACGTGCGACATCCAAAGTCGAATTGAAGAAAACCAAAATTGAAATTCTTCAGTTTTTGAAATTTTTTATCGAAACTGCTGGAACGAAAATTCTGTCGTACGCACTGGAGTTGAAATCCGTTCTTCTCACGATTTTCGCCGTTGATAATGCGTCTGACGTACGTGCATCGATATTCCCGGTTTTGTCACAAGTGAGAACATCAACAGACTTTGCCAGATGATGAAATATCATTTAGTTAATGGAAATGAGCGCTGGCTCAACAGATATGGCGAGTGAAGTGGAGAAAATGGCGACGACATTTCTCGATCAAATCGGTCTTCAAAGCTCGAAAACTACAGCGACTAGTAGACTATTTTGGAGATTGAAATATCAATCGTTTCCTTTGTGTATATAGTTAGAGGACTTTGTCTGGCATTTCTTGGCCTATTATGTAAATTTTATCCAGAACACATGCGAAAATATGCAGATCCACTTTTGTTAGGACAGTATTTGAAATATTTACATGAACAAGTAAAGTTTAATTTACTGAAAATCAAGACGAACTTCATATTGATTGCCTTTTAGTTAGTCAAAGATGCAGTGAAATTTGAAATGCTGATAGCTGCCGGTGCAATTGAAGGTCTGATCAATTATCTAGTGAAATTTACTCCCTCATCTACACCTGGTGAGTAGTAGTTCTTAGTAATTCGGATTTGAAAACACTTTTCGTCCATAGTTCATCCTTTGCCACCACCGCCAGCTGTTCGAAATAAAAGTAAAGAAGAAGAAAAACGTTGGAATGAAGAACGAATTCGATGTGAATCGGATTTAAAGCGTATTTATATATATGGAACACGTGCAATTCAAACACAAGATCAAACTAACTTGAATCGTTACGCATTAGTTAAAGGTACATAAAGAATTCGACTCTTCTTCTTCTTCGAATGAATAAACACGGTTTTCTCTTGCAGCTGGCCTTGAATTATTTGCGCAACATTCAACATTATTCACTGAATATCTCTATGAAGACTACCCGGAAATACTTCGGTGCATTCGCGCATGGAATGCTCATGATAATTATGATGTGAAGAAGATAGCACAACGTGCTTATGATGCATTCTTGCTCGGTGTAGGATATTGCTAAGAAGATTCTCAACATTGTCCTATTCAGTTTTTGGTGCTTCTAGGTAGCGAATGCTTTGAAAGAAACAAACGTGAAAACGCCAGAGGAACGTCGTCGAGCCGTGCAAGTTTTCCAATATTTTATCAAAGAGTTTCGTGATAAAATCGACACGCCTGAATTGGAAATTCGTGATTTAGCCATGGGAATACGTGGCTATGGAATTTTTGCTAATGTAAGACTTTCTGGCTGATCTCTTTGTGAGCTATGATTTGGAAATTGATTGCTCATAGGCATGTAAACTGTATGGCACGGAGGAGGATGTGAAATTCATGTTTGTTGGTCTTATACAACGTTGTGAACAGATAGCTATGCCAACTGTGACGTTATCTCAAGCGATGGATATCTTCGATGAACGATTCTATGGTTTACCTAATTTGATTGATGCACTTTCAGCCATTATCGTCGAAATGACTAATGTAAGATTGAGGAAAATCCGAATGTTTGTATGAAAATGAATCATTGTTGATTAGATCGGTGAAGAATTTTTTGGTCCACTCGAACGTTTAACCGTAATGACAATTGACTACTATCCACGTTATCAACCCAAATCACAAGCGACGACGTGTTCGTCCGTTATCAAAATGATTCTAGCTTTGCAAACAAAACCGAATGCCTACAAACCATTTCTTTCACGCATTGGTAGTGTAAACTCTATAGAATAAACCTCTAACTGTCACTCGGTTTGATTATAGTCACTCAAGCATTGATTCGTTGTTGTTCACATCCATTAAAATCTACTGTTGAGCAACAACTGGAAAACTATGAACCTGATCCATCCGATGATACTGTGAAATCTCTTCTGTCAATTGGAAAAACTATTACGTACGAGAATTATATTCCTTTATGGAAATCGCTCTTGAGTGTGGCAATATCAAAAGTAATTGAACAAAATCTGCTCTCTTCCTCTCTCAGCGAATGTTCTCTTTCTTCAAAGGAATTTGACACAAGTACATATCTAATATTCGATCGGCAGAATATGTTGGTTTCATTGTATGATGAAATTATTGAGTCGATTTTACATATCATCGATCGACTAGATTTAAGTGTTGAAAAAGAAACGCAACAAGTAAAGGAAAATAGTAGTTGACTGATTTTGATTTGTAGCGAGGTTCTAGGTTGAAAATAACGATGAAACAATAGCAAATACGGATCCAGTCTTTGGGATGCGGCCTATCAAACCAAAAGATTTCCAGATCTTCTATAATCTAGTTGATTTTTGCCAGTAAATCTCATGCAGAAATGAATATATGATAGTCATTAACATATTTCAATTTCCTAGAGATTTATTGCCTGATCAAACACCAGAATTATTTCTCAAATGGATCTTTCGATTCTTATACGATATTATTTCTACTTCAACCAAGTATGCATCAACTTGAGCTGTTCACTCTCTCAAACATTGTGTTTAGGTATCCATTAGTTAGTGGAGTCTACCGATTCGCTACATTTGTGATGAATATTTGCCTGAAACTTGACTATTTCAAAGTAAGTCTCTTCTGTCAACATCGAATCTAATGTTCCGTGCGATGTTTCTTAGTCACAACGATCAATGACTACAAATCGTGCAGGTATTGAAATGATGGAGACTGACTCAACTGACAATGACCAAATTCCAGCTGTTTGCGCTCTTGTTCGACGCTTTGCGCATGAAGTACTTTCACGACAAAAGCAATATCGTGATGATTTATTGATCTCATGTTTACAATTCATTATTTCATTACCCTCAGAATGTATTGATTACGACTTTGTTGATTACGTACCAGCAATACAAGTAAGATCGTATTTTTCTTCTGCAAATTAACATGTCGACATATTTTAGTTAGCGTTACAGCTTGGTTTGACTTATTTACCTTTAGCTGAACAGACTGTCAATAGTCTTGAACGATGGTCACAATCGACATCATTGAATTTACCAAATTTCTATGATCAAATACTACCCTATCTCGATGATTATCTTCGATTATCTCAAGATCAAGGTAACGAATTTTCATAAACGATTAACAAAACGAATCGGTTGTGAATTCTTACAGGCGACGATGTCAACGTTCGAGCAATCGTATCATCTTTACAAGAGAAAACACGACTGAAATCGAGAGGTAAACACGTTCTACCTACACGAATGCTCAAGAAAACAAAGCAGATAAAACATGTACGCAGTTGTTTCCCTTGAGAACATCAATAAACTCGTTTTTCTTGTAGCTTTTCGATGATAGCGACATTCGTCGTGTACAATTTCGTATCTTAAAATATCTCGGCTCACTAGGCAATCGTATTAATTACCATCTGATCGACGATACAGCAAATTATCTAACCAAAGAAGCGGTCGCATGGGACAATGAAAATCATCTTACATTCAATGTTCCATTTGACGATTTAAAACCAACAATTCATCTCGGTGCGGAATCATTTTCTTTTGATCTCCAAACACGATTGCGATAATCTAAATGAATTTAGATATATTTCTACCTCGCATTGTCGATTTAGCATTGCATAGTTCTGATCGGCAGACTAAGATCACTGCCTGTGAGCTATTACAATCCGTGATGTTGTATATGATTGGAAAAAGCGCAACGAATCGAAGCACTGCTGCAGTATGTATGATTTATCTACAACAGCATATCTAGAGCTTCGTTGTTCAAATCTAGGCGTCGTATGAAAAACTCTATGAGCATTTGCTTCCTGTTGTTCTGGAATTATCCTGTGATTCTGATACGGTAACATCATTTACATCCGAAATGTCTAGGACAATATAAATGTCATCGTTGGAAAAATTTAGTTTACAAAAACTTTGTTCACCACCTTTATGATTCAAATGATCCATTGGTTTACGAAAAATCACAATTATGAGAACCCAGAAACCATGTCGATGCTCGATACGTTCATGGTAGGCGATATTTGCACGAAACTTACATGAATGTCTTCATCCGATTAACATAGAATGGAATGATCTCGGGACGCAATGCGTCGATTCGCGATTTCAGTGGTATCTGTCTAAAAGAATTTCTCCAATGGACAGTAAAACATTCCGGTGGATACGATAAATCTGCCTATTTAAAAAATGCCACATCAATTCTCAAACGCATTCTGAGCTTCGCCTTGCATCCCAATAGTTTCAAACGACTTGGATCGACACTAGCATGGAACTCAATCTATGCACTCTATCGGTATGAATGATGAATTGATCTTGGTAATGTCAGGAAAAGAAATTATATGCTCTCGGTTTCTAGAGAGTCAGAGATATTGGTTGACGTTTATACGTTACAGTTGCTCTATGTTTTTGTCGAAAGTTTAGCAATCGCTCAAGGAGATGATTCGTCTCTGGGTAAGTTCAATATTGTTGGTAATCTGATGACTAAATATGCAGTATTTTAGGCACGCAACAACAAGCAATAAGCGCTTTATCGCATCTTGAACGAATAATCAAAGAAAAGTCGCAATTATTCATTAAAGAAACACCAAAACGACATCGACCACCGTAAGTCATTTGTTGCTTACCGGGCGAGAGAAACTAGTTGAATAATTCCCGACTAGATCGTGGAGTGAAGCAACACTTGATGTGACCATTCGATGGCTACTTCGACAATGTGGACGAATCGAAACAGAATCACGAAGAAAATGCATTGAGCTTGTGTGTACATTCATTCCACTTCTACCAGGTAGGATCGAGATTTTAACCAGTGAATTGATCATTTTTGTTTCTTAAAACCTAGGAATTCGATCTATCCGAGAGTATTTCGATTTGAAAGTCAAAACCGATGGAAATGTGTATTTCATCGAAAGGTTGACGAAGTCATTTTGCATTCCTGACCAAATCGTTTCCATTTAGATTCGAAGGAACAGCAGGTGCAGAGAAGAAAACAAGATTCAAAGCTAGTTTAGCAAATGCCGCATGTCTAACTGATATGAGTGAACAATTTTCACTTCCGATAGTATATCAGTGGCTTGATACGGTCATTGCTTCGTTGGATTGTTATACATGGGTATTTTCACAAGGATTTCTCAATCCAACGCTTTTCCAAGGACGTAGTCGTCTAATAGTGTCTTTATCCTACTTTATCTCGAAGGTGTCGATGAATTCATTACATGATATTAGCACCTATTTTGTATCTTCATCTCCTCACTCATCCGTCTTTACGCCAACTGATGTTCGTCAATTTGATGTGTAAGCCAAAAGAACGAATTTTTACTTGTTTGAGAGAAACTTGTTCTAGTGCAAAATGTACGGTCATTGTTCGTTTGCTTAACTTCATCACAGCACTATGGACGAAGTATCCACAGGACACCAAACGTGCAATTGACAATTCGTTCTACAGTCCAGATTTGAGAAAACTTATATTAACTTGTGTATTAAATCCCACACAGTTAGGATTTGATATCAATAACGAAGAAGTCAATCGGAAATTACCTGAACGAGTATGCAGTTTCATAAAAATTTTCGGAAAAAATCTTTCTTTTACTGTTATTTCTTTAGATTTCTAGTTTGTTAAAGTCCATGACAACGCATTTACCCGAAGAACTGATTCAGCCCTTCTATGCCGATGCATTACAGATGACAAAATCCGACGGGTAAGACTTCGTCTGCATACGAGTCATGTTCATAATTTTCTCTCTAATTGAAGAGTGTACAATTTGATGAATGAACTAAATATGAAACCTGTTCGTTGGCCACTGATATTTACCATTGCACGTGGCCTCCGTCTTTTGCATGATGTACGATTGTTGCCAAAGCCGAATCAACCCGAAGAATATGCTAAACAGCTTTGGACTATCTTATTGACTGTATTATTTCTTTGTGTCCAATCGAAACTTGTTCTTATCTGGGTTTTCTTCTCGTGTAGAAACTGATTACGAAAGAAGACGAATGTGATAAAGCAAACATCGTTTTGATCATTGATAATCAACGTGGCTTACAAGCTTTATTTGGTTATATTATCTATCTTGGCATCAAGGTAAGCTCATCTCTTTGAATTCTTTCGAAGAAAAAACGAATGCTTATGGATTTTGCCGTTTTAGCCAAATGAAGTTTTGCCGCATTTCTTTGAATCCCATCGTATTCATACAGATTCCGGCATGGCGACAATTGGCACATATCTACTGAACTTATTCAAACATCAAATCACCAGTTGGCTTGGTACAACGCCTCATTTTATTATCAATAATGTTGGTGATATCAAAACAGTCGATCAATGTCGTTCAGTCGTATCATTTCTAACTATTGTTCTCGATCTATGTAGTCGAGAGAAAGATATTCGTCAGCAATATGGTCGACAATTCGTCGATGGAATCTATACCTGCTGGCCATTGTTTGTTCCATTGTATCGTTCGACGAATCTTGATGATAAACTATTGATTGTTACATTATTAACCAAAACTTTCATTATCGATAGTCGCGTACTGATTATTCATGAACAGTTCGATACAATATCTCAAATGTACTTGAGTTTACTAGTCGACAAGCAATTGAATTTAACATTCAAAACACGTCTACTCGATTTATTACCATTTTTTGCTTCGTTGGATACAGATGAAGATATGTCGGAAGAAAAACGTAAGAAGTGGTCCGATGACTTTTGTCGAACATTACATACGTTTACAGCTGATTGTTTTCCATTGAAAAGTACCGAATTTCGCAAAGGTACACAAGAATATCATGATTATCTTGGCGCAATACGAAAAATTCTCTCCGCACTTGAATTATCTTCGTCATTTGTTCTGTTCGAATTGCTAGTTTGGATGTTATGTTGTGAACCACATCATATATTTGAAGAAGAAATTCTCTCATCAATAAGTCGCTATGTAACGAAACTCAATCAACAAAACAAACAAATGAACTTACTTAATTACATCCATTCGATTCTATTTGGAAAAAATCCCTTATTTCGTCTTGAACATCGCTTGAATGCGCTCGATAAGTTTATCTTGAAGATTCTCACATCTGTGAAAAAGAGTACACTAATGGAGTTCTACAATCAATACATATCATTCTTTGCAATTGATCAACTGGATATTAAATTAGATGTAACATCGTCATCGATTACTTCGATTCTAATTAACCGAGTTTGTGCATATCGTTTTCTCGATTATATGTATACGATATTAAACAAAGATGATGTTTTCGGAATGAGTTCTTCGATCGCGACGACATTCTACGAAGTAGTGAAACGACAAGAAGATGCACGAAAAGTTTTGAATATGGAAATGCCAATTACAACAATTAAAATTGCTCCAACAATGGATGGAAAAGAGTTGACAAAATATATCATCGCACGTGCACGCGCACAATTCATTGATGGAAAGCTAATGAAGACGATGGAGATGCTACCGCCAGACGCAACGAAAGACGTTAAAGTACATTTAGTTCGCTCATTGGCAGCAAGTTCATTCAATTGCTTGGTATCAATTCTGATCTGTACGCAAACGGAAGCGAAGCTGTACAAAGCTTTTATATTCGATGCGAACGCATCAAAGGAAGAATATATTTGGGAGAACTTGATCGATCCTGATCAAAAGTACACATTTCCACTTGAACTTGAACATTATTATAAAAAGGATAAACGTACATTATTGAATATTCTATCCAAAAAACTTCTTACATCTTCGCCCAATTCGGATAATCAACAACGTTTATCAACGCCGCCCAGATATTTACCATCTCAATATCTTTTCGGCAGCAGTCTTACAGATGAATTGGCTGTATTCGACTTTACATCAGCTGTTGTCACTCAACTCCACAGTGATCTGAGCAAAACGCAATCGAATTCTCTTTCCGAGAACACATTAGAAATTTCACTTCAAAGAAAAGATGACGATCGACCGGCATTAGTTGAAGGTGCTGACGATGAGCTCGGTACTGATTTTCTTGATATCGAAATGGATGACCTCAATCTTCATCCGTGCATGGTTCCCATGATTTGCTTACTCAAACATATGGAAACGCATGGCATAACACCACCGCCCACAACGGCAAATACTCAATCCGATATGCCGCCTTGGATGATCTGTTTATACAAAAAATTTCATGATGCAACTGTTCATTTGAACATCAAATTATTTCTTATGCGTCTGATAACGCATACACATACAGTTTTCAAACCGTACGCACGATATTGGCTGTCACCGATCATTCAAATGTGTAATCAAATGTTTGAGAAATCTGCGGAAGGTTTAAATACATTTCTGATTGATACAATTGTTGTTCTATTGTCATGGAGTTCCGTGGCAATCCCGAGTGAACTCGATGCAACGCCTGTACAACGTTTACTCGAATATCTTTTCCTTCATTGTTCACACAAAAATTCCCAAGTAACGAAGTCAAATTTAGACCTTGTGAAAAAATTGGTCGAGTCATGGAACGCTCGTATTTATGCTCCGACATTGATCATATACAAATTGATAGCAGATCCCGATATCAAATCAAAACAAAATGCCATCGGTTTGTCCCTAATGGGAATCTTGTTGGCAAATGAAATTTTACCTTATCATCAAACAACAACTGACCTTTCGGAAGATAAATTCAATGAAACCTTACTGAAGAATATGAAGAATTCGTATCGAAATATCTATGCAGCTGCTGCTGAAGTTGTAGGCATGCTGTTACATGTGAGAAAACTGAAACACGAATCGAATGAACGTCTTTTGGAACAGTTGAGTTTCCTCTTGAAATGGCACAGTGGACAAGGCAATCAAGATTCCTATGTTACATGCATTTATTCATTGCAAAAACACTATCCGGAGATTGTCGATAAGGCTGTTATGAATAAATTAATGTTTGGCTTGAAAAAGTTGTACGGAGACTTTAAAATGGAATGTTTGGAAGCCATTAGTGCCAATATCACGGAACTAGATTCCGCATATCTAGAATTGAAAGCAGCTGGAATATTGGATATACTCATTCACAAGTAAGAAAGATAGCTGACTTATTTACTGATCAAAACTCGGTCTTCGTTGTATCTGTTGTAGAGACTTTAGTATTCGTAGCGTTGCGTTACGTTTACTTCACAAATTACTACCGAAATTAACACATGAACAATTGTTAGAAGTTGCTCAAGTCTTGTCTGTTGACGGTCCTAATGAATGTCAATACTGGACACTAGAAATCTACAAATGGCTGTATGACTATATTACTCAACATATCACAAGTGAAAATCGAGCGCCGATGTATGAAACATTCTACCATCATGTTCGAGAACAATTGCTACAATTTCTATCAAGTAAAACCGAATATATACGCGTGAATTGTCGAAACTTTTGGTGTGATCCAAAGCGGCTAAGTGTTTCTTCACACCATCGTCTTATTGCCCTAGTTGATCAACTATATTCAATCAAAACCGAAAATGAGTATCTAAATTACTCAACGAATTTTCTTCTCGAACGTACGACACATAGTCCTGATTATCATTATTTAATCTTCGAGCATCCGCTGGATAAATGTGCCTTTCAAGAATTTCCATTAGCCTGCAATTGGCGGCAACGTCATCACACTTATACGACACCTCTATTCACTTTACAATCGCAATCAACTATGGATCCAACTAATGCCAATCTGATTACGTTGAATCCTGTTCATTTCATGCAAACAATATCGAATAACAATGATCAACAGCATATGTTATTGCAAACGCAAGAAATGTCTAATCGACAACAATTCATTCCTACACAAATGTTGGAAAACACCAATCTGAATTACAATTGGCTCAAACAAGCAAATACATTCGATACAACGAGTACATTTGCATTACCAACGCTCGCAACACAAACAAAACAAACCTCGTTAATTGTTAATGTGAGTAAAAGTAGCAAAACAACAACAAATACCGGTTCGAACAAAGACGAAGAAGAAGAAGAGGATATCTTTCGACTTAAACGACGATTTTTAAAGGATACCGGTAAATTACATGGCTATTTTGCTCGAAAACAAAATGAAAAGAAACAGAAAGAAAAAGAATTTCTCAACGAAGTCAAACTCAAGCAGGAAAATCAAGTGGAAAAATATCGCTCCTACCGTATTGGTGAACTACCTGATATACAAATTCGTTTCAGTGATATTATCATTCCATTACAAGCACTCGCTCAATATGACAATCATATTGCTCGTCTGTTGTATGCAAGTTTATTCACATCGATTTTAACTTCTCTCGAAGATAAATTATCATCTGATGAATATGCAGAATTGATTGAAACAATTCAACAACGTTTCGATGCGATTCTATCGCAATCGGAAGTCTTCTATCCGTCATTGGTTGCTGCTCTACTCGATATTGTTCTGTCGAAACCAAAGCAAATCAAGATTTCTGCTCAGTTTATTAGTGCAGCAAGTATTTCAAGTCATTTAGAATCGGTTGGAATCTTAACATTGGAATATTTCATTCGTTTAACTCAAGCAAATGACCAGAGTGAATTAGTTCATGGATCGACTAAGAAGAAATTCAAATCCGATCCTCAGATAAATACTGAACTTTATAAACGAATCGATCACTGGCTTGAATTAGCTAAATGCTATCGTTCGTTAGCATACTATGATGATGTTCGCGGAATTTTCTCACAAACACCAGGTTTAAATCCGTTGACATTGCAGGCTATCGAAGAAGAAAGTCATGCGGATTTTCTTTCTGCTTTGAATACTTACGTAACAGCATTGGAGCAAAACCGAACTGTCGACGAAACAACAACAGCAAATCCAATCGTCGAATTAGAACAGGATTTTTGGACACAATCGATGTTAAATTGTTGTAATCAATTAACCAACTGGACAATTATGTCGAAACATATCTTTCTTCCCCAGACTACATTCGATACCTTATGGTCAAATGCTTATCAGTTGAATTATTTAATGCCATATGCCATACGTGCGAAATTAAAACTTTTAATATCCGGTAGTGAACAGGAACAATTAGAGCAGGAAGATCTTTGTCATTTTTTCAATAATTTGTCATCTACATCGAATGCAGCAATAACAACAGCGACAGCAAATTCTGAAACAACATTTGTCAAACGATCCTATATCGAAAAACAGTATCCATTTGAATTGGCCACATTTTTCCTTTACCAAAAAGATTTCGACCGTAAGTGCCAGGACTTCAGCTTGATACAAACGTGCATCTGTCCATCTTCTAGGTTCAAAGTATTATATTCAATATGCCAAAGAACAATTTTTGCATCACTGGTCACAACTAAGTCGTCTAAGCGAATATGGTCGTAAGAATGCCATACAATTGATTCAACCTTATCATGAACTTGACCATTTCTTGGCATTTCTCGAACAGAATCTTCCGTTACTCAAATCCTTGGAAAACCGTTATCTAACGAATAATAAACACGATACCGATACGCGCGATGCATTCCTTCAGCGCATACATGATGATTTACTTTCACAATGGACATTACCCGATGCTATTCGGAGTTCCATTTGCACTTGGGATGATATTGTTACAAACCGTGCATTGTTCTTAGACGTGAGCATTTGAATTGCTATAAATAAGTTTGTCTCGAAGAATTTCATCTCGTTTAGATTCTTGATGATTTAATTGGTGGACCGCGAATGAGTTTCACAAGTCGATTGAAAGCAACAGAATTCGATCCGCTATTAATTGATTACAAAGTTCAATCTTCACTTGACATGGCCTACTGNTTGCACTTGGGATGATATTGTTACAAACCGTGCATTGTTCTTAGACGTGAGCATTTGAATTGCTATAAATAAGTTTGTCTCGAAGAATTTCATCTCGTTTAGATTCTTGATGATTTAATTGGTGGACCGCGAATGAGTTTCACAAGTCGATTGAAAGCAACAGAATTCGATCCGCTATTAATTGATTACAAAGTTCAATCTTCACTTGACATGGCCTACTGTGCGTTACGTCAACGAAATTTTAAATTAGCACTGACGAAACTAAATGATACGCGTAACCGTTTGGATTTATGTCAAAATCCGTTGATCAAATCCATCTACTGGAACGAAATCTATTGTGATGTTCATTTAAAGCGCCATCAAACCCAATCAAATCTGGCGAACTTGTTATCAACACTCGTTGCGAAAGAATTGACAAAATTGGAACTAAAAATCAATTCTATGCCAGTTACTGACGAACAGAGTGCGACCTTGAACTCGACATATATACAATTAAATGCTCAATTTTGTCGAACTATAATTGATTATCTATTAGAACAACCGAAAGCTTATAGTGACTATGAGCATGATGAGAAAATCTCTCAAGCCAAGCATCGGCAATTAGAAATGTATGTCTATGGTTTAGATGATCAAAATAATACAATGCAGAAAGCCGACTCGCTGATCAAAGAATTATTTCACAAAAGTGTAAACATCTTGAAGAGTAATATTGAAAAACAAGAAACGAATCGCGCAGGAAAAGAAACTGTACTCAGTCGTGATCATAATGAATTAGCGAAATTTTGCGATGATTATCTTCGTCGATATGAAAACAATGATGATGATACACAACATCCAATGCGTCATTTATTTGCTGGTCATAATGGTAAACAAATAGCCGAATTGATTATTCATTCAGTCTTATCATCAATGAAATATGGCTCGAATGAAGGTGTCAAATGTTTCTCTCGTATACTACAAATAGTTGAATTGTATCCGAATACTTTGGAATCGATTGCTAATCGTTTACAAGAAATTCCATGCTGGATGTTCTTCGATTGTTTGTATCAAATTACAGCACACCTAGATAAACCCATTGCGTACGTATCGAAATCTCCTGAAAATATATGGTTTTTTTTCTCATTTTTCTTTGATTTTAGTTTAAAACTGTATCCATTAATTGACCAAATAGTAAAATCCTATCCGCAATCGATTGTTTATCCGTTTAAACTAAGTTATGAGACTTTGCAATACTCAATTGCTGATCCGGCTTTAAAACGCAATCTTGAAATCATTCGTCACAAAGTAGATCGGCAAACTCCACTTGTCAATGAATTTATTCAAGCATTGAATCAACTAAATCCTCAACAACAGTTTGAGAGTTGGTGCAAAGAACTATATCAATTGCTGACCAATGATCTTCAAACACGGGATATCGAGAAACTTAAGGCTCATCTGAAGAAATTCAAAGATGTTCTCTTTTCCGATGCGATCAATATCAATGAAATGAATGAAGAACACACGAGCACTACGATGACATCGCAAGACAGTGTGTTCAATGACGGAACAGATCATCGTTTATCAAAGACTCGTCTAACATCCATACGGTGTCAGTTCAAAAATTCTGTGGAAAAAGATCTCGACACATTGTTTGGTAAACAAGGTGAATTATTTTCTACTGTTCTCTTAACCGATGTGAAAACAGTGCTATCGTCAATTAGCACGAAATTAAAATCAATATCCCAAGATAAATCTAATATAAACGATTATTCCACATGGTTTTCGTTAACATTTCGACAACAACATCGAGCTCTCGGTACACCGTCGACGCGTGAAATCGAAATACCCGGACAATATACAAGCAAAAAGAAACCGCTATTGGAGCATCATATCAAAATTGTTGGTTTCGATGAGAAAATCTTAGTTCTTCATTCGTTAAGATTACCGAAACGTTTAATTATACGTGGACATGATGAAAATGATTATCGATTTCTAGTCAAGGGAGGCGAAGACATACGACAAGATCAACGTATTCAAGCACTGTTCACTATTATGAATGATCTCTACGATAATGATCCAAATTGTAATCAATCAAATGCATCACATGTTTCCATACGAACGTATAAAGGTAAAAGTAATAATCGATTGTATTGATTGCTTTTCATCGGGTACTGTTGTTCTAGTTATTCCAATGTCATCGAAATTGGGAATGATTGAATGGCTCGATAACACACGTCCATTGAAAGAACTAATTGATGAATGCTATACAAAGGCTGAACAAGATGTTATTTCTCAAGGTCAACATCCAAGAAAGCTCTTTCAAGATTATGTGACTGGCGCATATCAAAGAGCGAAACCAAGTGCGAAATCAACAAGTAACACTCTGATGTATGCAGAACTATTTGTTTCTCTGACAAAGAATGAAGTTCGTGAAGAATTCAATAAAGTTCAAGCAGTTATTCCCAGTGAGTTACTCCGACGTGCCTATTACAAGATGGCTAATTCACATGAAGGATTCTATACATTACGTCAACAGTTTATAACCAGTTATGCCATTTTATGTACAAGTCACTACATATTAGGCATTGGTGATCGACATCAATCAAAGTAAAATTGGTTGACATTGATGTTCAGCTTTTTACACGTATTATTTCTGTATAGTTTTTTGATCGATACAACATCAGGACAAGTTATTGGCATTGATTTTGGTTCTGCATTCAATGCTGCAACAATTGTAAGAAAATAAATCTTTCCATTTCGGCGGAAAACGACTCCTCCTGATTTTCCTTGTTTAGCATTTACCTGTTCCTGAACTCATACCAATTCGTTTGACTCGACAGTTGACCGAACTCATGTCACCAGTGGGTACAGCTGGTCTGTTCCGTGCAACAATGATCCATACGATGAATGCATTACGCGAGAATTCCGATTTATTATTAAGTACCATGAATGTCTTTATTAAGGAACCTCTTATGGAATGGGTGGTACGTTTTTGTTAATCGTTCAATATGTCTTATTTTCATTCGGATTGATTTCTAGGAACATGCACTGAAAACGAGTAAACAAGTATCACAGAGCGGTATGTTCAACATAATACGTTAAGAATTGTTTCACTTTATCGCTTTAGAATCAAGTCCGATTCGTTCGGACGATACCTATGCAAAAGATCGTATTCGAAGTGCTCGTTTAAAACTGAATGGAATCAATCCAGCTGTAATTACTGCGTATGTACATATAATCAGTTACATATTCGACTGTTGTACATGACATGTATTTTAGTGCGGATCTTAAATTAAACAATTTTCTTCGTCCAGCAGCTTTGAAAGACGCACTTCGCCATATGGAAAAAGTTGTTGGTGGCGATCAAACTGAGAACAAGCGTGCACAAATTTTGGTACGATACGGGTCAGATCGATATCATCAGTTAACGGTCGATGAACAAGTCGACTGTATTATCGATCAAGCAACTGACATCGATATTCTTGCCCGATCATGGGCTGGGTTGGAAACATTTATGTAGTTTCATGCATACTAGGAAGTTTTTCTTGGTGTAGATAGATCAAAGTGGAATTTTTTTCTCAATTTGTGATGTAAGTTACCTGCCAAGTTTTTTAATGTCTTTATAATGAAGTAAATAAATTTGAAACAATAAATGTTCATAACAATCATCTTGAGGGTGAAAGAACATAGTTGATACCTTTATCATATCCTGACTACTACTAAAAACTTACTGGTTTCAGTGTCGAAAATCGCAGATCGTTACCTGTGTCCGCTCTTGCGCGATCCATACAAAAACATTCGTAATCATTTTAGTTTGGGTATAATAGTAGATTCATGACAAAAACTTGAAGTTTTGTATTACCTGAAATACGACGGCAAAAGAAAGTCGGGAACAACTTTCATGTTCTCCAGTTGTTTCAAACAGTAAAATCACAATTCTATTGCTATGAGTTTTTTCACAACAACAGACGAGGCTTTCAATGAAAATCTCGATCAGCTGGGATCAAGTTTTATGTACACTAAAATTTACCCTGTAAAATATTACACTTTAAATCAACATCTAGTCGGCCGGCCACTCGCGACTAGCCGTTAATGTCCAACGTTCATTCTTTCATCTAGTTTAGAATCCCTTCCATTCCCTGCTGAATAAGCACCGACTTTGTGCGATTGTGACTGTCCAAAGCAACATTTGCTACAGGGGAGTATTATTTTGAGTGGTTAGCATCAGATAATGTCTGTGTAATATAACCATTTGTATAATTGTGATACTATCAATGTGCTGATGTGTATGAATATTCAACAGTCCGAGGTTAATCAACTATTTCGTTTTGTTCTACATATTGCTGCTTCAAACGCTATCGTCTAGAAAAAATTTCCTTGCAAAAAATCGTCCTTTGTCTAGAAAAACAGTACAGAATAGTTTTATTGAAAATCTAACAATAGATTCGAGATCTTGCATCCCGATGACCCTTTCGATCAACCCTTATTCGGCAATACAAGAACTGATCGTTAGCTAATTAACTAATTAGTATTTGAGAAAATTAACATCGGATTCGGGATGCTCGACCTCGATTACCTCATCAGTGATCGATCTCTGATGACCCTATAACCCTTTCTTTCAGAAAAGGAAACAATGAAATGTTTTATAACTGCTCACGATTGAGCAATATGATCGTTGTTTTCGATAATATTAAAACTTTTTTTAAAAGTAGAAAAATACAAGCCGCGTAACTCTGAAACATAAAATAAACGCGTCCTAACACGTTTATGCGTGTTTTCGATAGTTGATGCATTCAAACGCGTCTGAAATAAGAAACCCTTTTTCATTCAGAATCGACTCATTGATAATCCTAAGAAGAAAAGCAAGACTTCATCTACTTCAATTAGTATTTGAAGTATGAACTTTCCCTTTTCCTACCTTCAGCAGAATTCGCATAGACAAGTATACCGACCTCACCTTACCAAGAGCTCAATTCTTTCAATGTCAAGAGTAGCTATAAAAACTTAAACAAATTTATCTCTATAGAACGGCTTCAACATTAACTTCGGGTACGGTTTGTTAAACGTCGCTGACTTCAAACCGTAAAATTAACCCTACCTAACGTCATTCATATAAACAATATCCATTAACTAAAGACATTCAATGTGTCAACTTATCGCTACTTCTCTCACGGAAACAGTCTAGGCGCATTCTAATGGAAAGACATCGACAGAATGCTTCTCTGAAAAGTTATATGATGACATGCGATTTTAAGATAAGAGATGATTTTATTTTATAGTACGAAAAGAAGAGCGCTGCAGTCGATTTGTAACAAGTTCAAGATATCTTTCGAATGTTAAAAGGTGTGGATGATTTGGTGACATTGAACACCTGGCAATTTGAACAGCGCGTTCACAATAGAAGCGAGCTTGTGGATAATCACCCATACTGTTATACACCAAGCCGATGTTGTTGTAGGATGTGGCTAAATCAGGATGGTTTGCAGGAAGTGATTGTTGTTCAATTGAAAGAGTTTTCTCATAGTAGTCAAGTGCTTTTCGATAATCTCCTATACTGTCATACACCAAGCCGATGTTGTTGTAGGATGTGGCTAAATCCGGATGGTTTGCAGGAAGTGATTGTTGTTGAATTGAAAGAGCTTTCTCATGGTATTCAAGTGCTTTTCGATAATCTCCCATATTATTATACGCCGAGCCGATGTTGCCGTAGGATGTGGCTAAATCAGAATGGTTTGCAGGAAGTGATTGTTGTCGAATTGAAAGAGCTTTCTCATAGCATTGGAGTGCTTTTCGATAATCTCCCATACTGTCATACACCGAGCCGATGTTGTTGTAGGATGTGGCTAAAAGAGGATGGATTGCAGGAAGTGATTGTTGTCGAATTGAAAGAGCTTTCTCATAGCATTGGAGTGCTTTTCGATAATCTCCCATACTGTCATACACCGAGCCGATGTTGTTGTGGGATGTGGCTAAATGAGGATGGTTTGCAGGAAGTGATTGTTGTTGAATTGAAAGGGTTTTCTCATAGTATTCAAGTGCTTTTCGATAATCTCCCATACAGACATACACCGAGCCAATGCTGTTGTAGGATGCGGCTATATTAGGACGGTTGGCAGGAACTGATTTTTCCAGAAGCACAAGTGATTTGGCATAGAATGTTATGGCTTCCTGAAAGAAACCTTGCCTGAATCGGATATAACCAAGTTGATAATAAATCAATCCTTCATCAGTGTCATCTAATGTTTGGTTGAGTAAAGTATCACAAATCGCCTTAGCCTTGTCATGTTGACCCAACTGAATCAGCAGTAGGCCTAATCGGGTCCAACCTTTACCATTGAGACGACTTTCGCGCCGAACATGATCAGTCAGTGTGCGTAACTCTTCGTCAGAATCAAGAGTCAGCGAGATATTCACTTCATACAGTGGTCGATCAGCGCCAATGAGTTTGATGTGATGAACGCGAAACACGGTGTGCATTGAAAACAACACTTCGTGTTCTTGTAAGAAACTGCCATAATTCCCAATTGAGGCAAACGGTGTTGTTGACCGAAGAGGATCGACCTGTATTGTGAAGAGAATTCCTACTAACTTGGGATTGTCTGCGTTACTTTTCGCATAGGAAAACGAGACGTCACGTTGCATACTGGTAGAGAAGAAGCTGTTGAATGACATCANATGAACGCGAAACACGGTGTGCATTGAAAACAACACTTCGTGTTCTTGTAAGAAACTGCCATAATTCCCAATTGAGGCAAACGGTGTTGTTGACCGAAGAGGATCGACCTGTATTGTGAAGAGAATTCCTACTAACTTGGGATTGTCTGCGTTACTTTTCGCATAGGAAAACGAGACGTCACGTTGCATACTGGTAGAGAAGAAGCTGTTGAATGACATCAACCCGCCTATCGTGTTTTTTAGTTCTTCAAAATCTGAGTGAGATAGACCTTGTCCACGATATACTGTAAACACAAGGGAACTCCAAGGTGTGTTAACAAACTGTTCTTTGTGCAACTGTTCTATGTTGCGATGAAGATCATTGACGAAGAATCCCATTCGAACAAGAACGTCACCATCCATGATTCGTAGTGCATCGTTGAGCATGGAATGCAAGGAATTACCTCTTGTATACCACCAGATGGGCTTCTTTGTACGGTAATCACGTACTGATTGTTGAACATCATTAGAATGCGTACAGTCGAGAGTGATTAGTCCAGGATGATGCCTGACAAACTCTTCGATGTGTTTGTCTTCGAATTCGATCGTAAACAAGATCTCTTTGAAGAGTTGTGTGTACATGAAAGATGGATTGAGCAGATCCAATCTTTTGCCAGATGGTACAAAAGTGATTGGTGTGACAGTGGGCTCATCTTGGAGAAACGTGTTCTGAATGGCTTGGCAGAGTGATGATATATCAGTGAAAACATCTTTGATCTTGTTCCAATGTTTAGTCCATTGTTCATGATATGATTTGTTTTGACAAAAGATGAAAATCGAGTGTAATGGAGGAATGTCGTGGACACAACGAACAAGATATTGTCCAAGTGCACCAGGAACGATTAGACAGACTTGATGGTCATTACAATTGAGTATATATTCGACACATTCGTCATTATCCGTGAATGTAGTGACATTGTCAGTAATGTGTTCAAGTTGTGCAATTGTTAACTGGCAATCAGCATTATTATGATCAATCTGATTGTCGAGCCAGATCACAACGACGTCTTGCATCTTTCGAAGATCGACCGATAGTATACTGTGTTGAAAGTTCCGATTATTGTTCTCCTAGTTGTTATTGCCTTCTGACACTCTGCTTTGGTGCTGTGTCGGTTAACTCACAATAAAAAGGTAACTTCGTTGGTAAATTTTTGTGTTCTTTCTTCTTTCTACCGCATTCGTACAGTTACTTTTTTTATGCATAACAACTGAAGAACGAGAAAAACATGCCTGTAGAGAATGCAATTGTCGCTATGCAAATATTAAAAATGTGAAAAGAAAGTGTTTAGTAAAAGACGTAGTTTAACTGAAAGAAATAAATCGAAACAGCTTCTATTTGCACAACGCGCTTCTGTCTGAAAAAAAGTATCACAGAGAGGTTAAATCTTACCTGATCGAGATGCTAAAAGTCTATTCGTCCTAGTGGATCTTAATATGTTCGTAACCGTTCAAAAAACGAATGATGAGATGTTGCTGTAATCGGGAAACATGAACGTTTGTTCATCTTTTCTTTCACCTTGAATCAAACGATCTTTCATAAACGTATCGTTTGTTGTTAAATCTGATCGGAAAGTAATATTGATGTTGAAAGAGATCTACTTCGAAGAGATGTAAGTCCGAAGTCGATTTTTGCCGCTGCATATAAGATCTCTCAATAGAGTTTTAGCAGAAATGGACAAAAAGGAGGCGTATAATCATCAAAGAGACATCGACTAAGTATGAATGAATTTGTTTATGGACAAAGAATTGTTTTACTGGCACATGCTCACTGTGTAACAATTCATAGAATGGCACTCTCTTGTTTCAGCTTTATTTTGAAATATTGTCGATAAACTAATCCAATCCTTTTGTTCAACAGTAACCTAATCTATTTGATTGACAAAAAACGAAAGACATCTATTCTATATGATATGATTGATCAGTCTATCTTTATTTTATTCAAAGTAAAGGTACAAATAAAAATAAGTGTTTGGATTATGTTAAAATTGAAAAATAAATGTCGAATACGTCCACAAGTTTAGTTTTTCACCACTTGCTTCATTCGTTGTGTATGTCTTAATTGTGGATAGATTTTCGATGGATTGAAGACAAATGTCTTCGTATTATTTTATCAATCATGATATATATACAGATGTATGATGCATTCCATTTACAAAATCTGTTGGATACAAAACAGCAACAGTTGATTCAGTTGTCGAAGCAGGTGAGATTGGAGTAGCTGTTATTGTTGTTAACTGTTCAGAATATGTTCACATGATATTGGATAAACAGAGATGAGAGGGAGAGAGAATCTTACGAATGTGTTGATCAAGAGGAGAAAGCCAAGACTTGATCTATTTCAGATAGTATTTGAAGTCTCACTTTTTCTCCCTTGGAAAATCCATTTTCAGTAATGATTTCTTTTAAAAAATTACTTCATTTATTCTACTAAATCTTATCTTTTTTATGTCAAAACTGTTAACCTGTTCATTCGACATTACCTTCTGTCAATAGTTATAGTCCTAATTCATGAAAAGGATTGACAGGCTTTTTAATTGGAAAACATGGTGATACAGACTATAGCTGTGAGAATAGGATATAGCCACTATGATTTCGTGCAACAGTGTAACTATGAATTCTCTGTATGACGTCTAATATCGCTGAAGTACTTAACTGATACGATGTACGAATCAAAAGAAGCCTCCACTTGCTGCTAAGATTGATAACCGACGTGATCATATCCTCTCCCTCAAGTGAGATCATCATCATATTGTTTTCTTCTTCATTAGTTAGAAAGTGTTGCTCTGGCAGATCAGTGTTACCACCGATCTGCTCGATTTCGTCATCGCAACATGTATTTGATCAGAGTTGATCGTTNGTAAAGTCATCTCGTCCTCATAGATTATATACAGATCTTCGGTTGAATTTTGCTGATTATTCGTGTAACGGAAACAGGGTCCAAAGAAACACAGAAAGCGAGAGAGCCCAGGGGTATGAAACAGTTTCTATCGTGTATTGATGAGTTTCAGAGCGTTACAGGTTTTTCCGACTTTTATTATGCAAATTTTTACGTATTCCTCTCATCGTAATTTGGTTCTACTTTGTACGTCTTTGAATTTGCACTGTAATGCAAAACTTCTGGCTGTTCAGATAAGATGGCACTATGGGTGAGCATTGTAATTCATAGTTGTTGTTGTAATTCGACGGCACTCCGGGAAAACTTTTCTCGTAGAGAACTTTTGTGCAGGGACCGTCATTTGTCCAAAAAATGTTCATTGTAACAGTAGAGAAAGCTGAGTCAGCCTACAAGTAAAATTTGAGGCTTTCACCGACCTCCGAAGTATATCTCGAAAACTGTTTTTAATTGGTTTAACTACCTCACTACAAGTTTCTTCAGATACTGCCTGAATCTCCATCGTTGACGCCGTTTTGTAGTAAACAGATAACCCCCGGTTTCTAACTGTGCAAAAGCCATTGCGAAGTACTTCTTCCCTAAAGAATCTATTTTTCAAATTCTAAATTTATCAAAAGCTGTTCATTGTACAGCTTCACCATTGTGACGAACAAACACGATTTCGATCGGAACATAAAATTTTGATTACAAGTATATTAATAGTGGACTAATCACAAAATTCTCTCTCAGCACTACTGCATTAATTCGTTTCGTTGTTCATCAATTAATTAAATCGTTCATTGCAAATGCTCATCTGAGTTTAAGATCAAGGTTACGAAATCTACACACTTTCTATAACACAGCGGAGTAAACTAAGGTTCATCTATTCATCCGGCTCTCATCATTTTGTATCAGCATGAACTGATCAATGTAGCGTTAGAACTCCACTTAAAAGTTGTGTACGCTGATGACTTCACGACACTTACGTTTAGTAAATCAAGTAGAAACAAGTGCCCGCCTCAATCGATTGTTAGACAATTAGTAAAAAGTCTAATCGTGTTCGAGATAACTTTCCTCGGATTATTTCACGTTCTCCTTCGTTCACGTTGTCGGTTTTTACTTAATATATTCTGGATCCTCTCATGAGAAATGCAAAAAAGGGCATAACGTTCCCACTCACAAATCAATACAGCTGCCTTTCACCCTACTTCTTGTACGCAAACACTATATTATTTTCCATCGTCTCGAGACGAAGAACATGCAACAGAATCGAGAATCTACATGCAAGAATCCTCACCCTCCACAGCGCCCCAAACTCTTCCGTTATTCAATCAACAAGGAGTAATAAAATCATATGCGAGTGACTTGTTCACTTTATTTTCTGTTATTATAAGTGTTGCTCTGGCAGATCAGTGCTACCACCGATCCGCTCGTTTTCGTCATCGCAACATGTATTTGATCAGAGTTGATCATTTACCTCTTGGTAAGTTGTAATAAGCAACTTTCCTCATCGAAGGCGAGGACGCGACGTTTCTCGAGTCTCTACACGTCGCCCTTTCTTTCGCTCTTCCTCAAACGCTATGTGAAAAGACACGAATGATGGCGTGCCCTCGCGTTCGACGAGGCAAGTTGCTTATTACAACTTACCAAGAGGTAAATGATCAACTCTGATCAAATACATGTTGCGATGACGAAAACGAGCGGATCGGTGGTAACACTGATCTGCCAGAGCAACACTTTTCATCAAAATACAAAAAGAAAAAAACACGACCACCCTCACCCTCACCCACCCCCCCTCCCATTTTTACAGTTTGCTTTATCGCTTCTCGCCTCACGGCTAAGATCGAAGTGTAGTATCTGTTCTCGTCGGTTTGAAAGCCGGCGCTGGTCCCATCGGACCAGGCTCTTTCAAGCGGATTTTTGGATACCGACTAGGATCACCTGAGTTGACTCGGGCCCCTAGTCATGGATCTTCTCGACACTGCGGTGCCGTCGAGTATGGTCTACTTGCATTCTTTCATAAAATATCAAAATGATAATATTAGAAGTAATGAGGAATTTGATTTTGCGGCAAATTCAGATCAGTGTCAATATTTTAACTGCAAAGCGGGCAAAAAGGCAACTTCGCGATAAATACAAGTTCCTTCAAAACGATGTCGAATTTGTAGTTTCTATCGGTCAAAGGACTGATATTAATGGAGCAAATTGTAATTACGTCGTCGAATCCTTTTCTCATTGTCTTCATCTGTGTACCTCATTGTGTATAGTGAGACACAGTAATGCGATATAAGGATATAGTGGTACCCAGAGTGACAAGATTGAAAGTTGAAAATAGTTATTTTGCGGGCCACAGGCTATGGTTCATGCCACTTGTGACAACATTTATGTATTCATCAATGAACTCTTTCAAGCACAAACACATGACTCTCGTATATATCATTATCTTCTCCTTCCTGTTTATTATATCTATTCACGTCGTCTCACAACACATTCATCTTCAACAGTTCATCTAATGATTGTTTTCTCTTCTTCGTGTTTCTCTCTCGGTTCTCGCTTGACCGATGCACCCAAAAAAAGAGAAATGAGGGAACCAATATAAAAGGAAAGGTTTTGTTGAAATNGTAAAGTCATCTCGTCCTCATAGATTATATACAGATCTTCGGTTGAATTTTGCTGATTATTCCTGTAGCAGAAACAGCATCCAAAGAAACACAGAAAGCGAGAGAGCCCAGGGGTATGAAACAGTTTCTATCGTGTATTGATGAGTTTCAGAGCGTTACAGGTTTTTCCGACTTTTATTATGCAAATTTTTACGTATTCCTCTCATCGTAATTTGGTTCTATTTTGTACGTCTTTGAATTTGCACTGTAATGCCAAACTTCTGGCTGTTCAGATAAGATTGCACTATGGGTGAGCATTGTAATTCATAGTTGTTGTTATAATTCGACGGCACTCCGGGATAACTTTTCTCGTAGAGAGCTTTTGTGCGGGGATCGTCATTTGTCAAAAAAAATGTTCATTGTAACAGTAGAGAAAGCTGAGTCAGGCTACAAGTAAAATTTGAGGCTTTCACCGACCTCCGAAGTATATCTCTAAAACTGTTTTTAATAGGTTTAACTAACTCACTACAAGTTTCTCCAGA